CCAACCTTGGCTAAGACTGGTGGACTTCAACTCCCAGAATCCCTCAGCCATTCAACCTTGGCTAAGACTGGTGGACTTCAACTCCCAAAATGCTGCAGCCATCCAACCTTAGCCACTTTACGACGGGTGGACTTCAACTCCCAGAATTCCCCAGCCATCCAACCTTGGCCATTTTAAGACTGTCCCTCCATCCCTCTTTCCATCCATCCATCCAACCATCCATCCCTATATTGATTATCTATTATCAGTTATCTGTTACCTATTATCTGTTATCTGTCATGCCTCATCTGTCTATCTATCTCCATCATGCCTCATCTATCTATCTATCTATCTATCTATCTATCTATCTATCTATCTATCTATCTATCTATCTATCTATCTATCCATCCATCCATCCATCCATCTACCTATGCAACCACCCAATCTCCATCCATCCATCCATGTATCAAATTTATATGCCTTTACTTTTGTCAAGATCTTCCTCTTAGCTTCCAACTCTCAAGGCAAATGGGGGGGGGGGAGTCCAGACAAATGCTGTGGCAAGGCCTAAACACAGGCAGGACACACAACCCCTCCCATGAGCTGTGGCCACTGAACCTACTGGCACCCTTCTTGAGGATGGAGGAGAAAGCGGGCAGAAAGAGGACATATTCATGAGGATAATTAATGCTCTATGAGTTAGATGGGTGGTCTCTAAATTAGGGAAGCACGTGGGTAGGTGAATGGATGGATATATGGATAAAAAGATGATAGAAGGTAGGTAGGCAGGTGGGTGGGTGGATGGATGGATAAATAGATGGTAGAAGATAGGTAGATAAGTAGAAAGGTGGGGGATGGATGGATGGAAAAAAGATGATAGAAGATAGGTAGGTAGGTAGATGAGTGGGTGAATGGATGGATAAATAGATAATAGAAGATAGGTAGGTAGGTATGTAAGTAGGTAGGTAGGTGGTTGTATGGATAAAAAGATGGTAGAAGATAGGTAGATAAGTAGATAGGTGGGGGATGGATGGATGGATAAATAGATGATAGAAGATAGTAGATAAGTAGATAGGTGGGGGATGGATGGATGATAAATAGATGATAGAAGATAGTAGATAAGTAGATAGGTGGGGGATGGATGGATAGATAAAAAGATGATAGAAGATAGGTAGGTAGGTAGATGAGTGGGTGGGTGGATGGATGGATAAATAGATGGTAGAACATAGGTAGATAAGTACATAGGTGGGGGATGGATGGATGGATAAAAAGATGATAGAAGATAGGTAGGTAGGTAGGTAGATGAGTGGGTGAATGGATGGATGGATAAATAGATAATAGAAGATAGGTAGGTAGGTGGTTGGATGGATGGATGGATAAAAAGATGATAGAAGGTAGGTAGATAAGTAGATAGGTGGGAGATGGATGGATGGATAAAAAGATGATAGAAGGTAGGTAGATAAGTAGATAGGTGGGGGATGGATGGATGGATAAAAAGATGATAGAAGATGTGGGTAGGTAGATGAGTGGGTGAATGGATGGATGGATAAATAGATAGTAGAAGATAGGTAGGTAGGTAGATGAGTGGGTGAATGGATGGATGGATAAATAGAAGATAGAAGATAGGTAGGTAGATAGATAGGTAGGTGGATGGATGGATAAAAAGATGGTAGAAGATAGGTAGATAAGTAGATAGGTGGGGGATGGGTGTATGGATAAAAAGATGATAGAAGATAGGTAGGTAGGTAGGTAGATAGAGAAGTGGATGAATGGATGGATGGATAAATAGATAATAGAAGATAGGTAGGTAGGTAGGTAGGTGATTGGATGGATAGATGACCTATATACAGATATATAGAGACAGATGAGATAGAGATAAATGACAGATAGATTGAAAGATATAATGGATGGGGATAGATAGATAGATAGATAGATAGATAGATAGATAGATAGATAGATAGATAGATAGATAGATAGGGATGGATGGCTAGAGAGAGAGAGAGAGAGAGAGAGAGAGAGAGAGAGAGAGAGAGATGGTGTGTATACAGATATATAGATGAGATATGGATGGATGGACGGATGGATGGAGCAGACAAGACAAATGATGGACAGGCAGACAGACAGACAGACAGTGAATAAATGAAATACCCCCAGCCACAGCACCGCCCTTCAGAAGACCCAACTGCCTCCAGAAAGCTTCCCAGCTAGGCCTTCTTGCCTTTCCTTCCCCGGAAGAGCCGGGCCATTAACCCTTCCGACAACCAGGTCACCCCAACAGCTCCGGGCATCTTTGCTGATTGCAGAAGCCTCTCCTATTCCTTCCTCCAAAACACCCCCTTGAAGCATACAGCCCCCCCCAATCTGGGTCAATGCATCAAGCCTGTTGGGCAAACAAAGCCCACTGGGGCTGCCGGGGGGGGGGGGTCCTGGGGGGGGAGGGGTGATCGCTTACTCCTGGTGAACAACCAGCCCAAAAGACCAAAGCATTTCCCCCCCCCATCAGCAATCAGCCCCCAGGGGAGCAGCGATTCACTCAGCCCCACCCAGAAGTAAACAATGCCACAATTAAGGAACTGCCAGCAGCAAGCAGCCCAAAGAGCCCCGGGACCACCCCCACCCACCCTGACCGGCAACTGGGATATCAACCCAGAGTAGAACCCCCCTCCTTGCTTAGCCCTGATGATGTTCCCTAGCTGGGTCATGAAACGGCTGCGAGAAAAGAAGGAAACTCAAGAGCAGCAAGGATTCCGAATCTCTCTCTCTATATATGGCGTCTGTCTCTGTGTCGGTGTCTGTCTCTCTATCCGTCCGTCCGTCCATCAGGTATGTATGTATGTATGTATGTATGTATGTATGTATGTATGTATGTATCTATCTATCTATCTATCTATCTATCTATCTATCTATCTATCTCATCTATCTGTCTATCTCTATATATCAATCTTTTATTTATATCTATCATCTATTTATTTATCATGTCTATTATCTATGTATCTATTTATATGTCCTTCCTTCCTTCTTTTCTTTCTTTTTTCTCTTTTCATCCATTTATCATGTCTGTCTATTATCTATGTACTTATGTGTCCTTCCTTCCTTCCTTCCTTCCTTTTCTTTCATCTATCTATCTATCTATCTATCTATCTATCTATCTATCTCATCTATATGTCTATCTCTATATATCTATCTGTATCAATCTTTTATTTATATCTATCATCTATATATTTATCATGTCTCTATTATCTATGTATCTATTTATATGTCCTTCCTTCCTTTTTCTTTTTCTTTTTTCTCTTTTCATCCATCTGTCTATTATCTCTCTATGTATTTATATCTGTCCTTCCTTCCTTCCTTCCTTCCTTCCTTCCTTCCTTCCTTCCTTCCTTCCTTCCTTCCTTCCTTCCTTTTCTTTCATCTATCTATCTGTCTGTCCGTCTGTCTGTCTGTCTACCTACCTACCTACCTACCTATCTCAACCTAATCAAGAAGCCACCAAGAAAAAAATGACACTGTGACCCCCACTGACCAAGCAACTTGTATATAAACAGAAAGCCACCCCCCTCCTTTCCCCTCTAGCACTGATATTGTTCCCTAGTTGGGTCATGAAACGTCTGCGAGAAAAGAACTAAGCCCAGAGAGCACCAAGGACCCCACAGTCTTTGTCTTGCTCCTCCTCCTCCTCCTCCTCCTCCTCCAACCCCCCTCCCTTCTAGCCCTGATGACGTTCCCTAGTTAAGTCATGAAACGTCCACAGCTCAGAGAGCCCCGGGGACCCTAACCCTTCCGGCCCAGAGCTAGCAAGCTTCTCCTTCCTGGCCCCCCACTCACTCACCCGCCTGGCGGCCGCCGCTTCCACAGCCTGCATGGCTGAGCCGGTGGGAGGGCAGCCCCTCATCCCCTCCCAGCCTGAACGAGGAGCAGCGGCAGCAGCGGTGGCAGCAGCGTCTCCTTCTCTGGGGCAGGGCACTGGCACTCGGGAGAGTCTCTGCCGTGCAACCGGCCCGCCCGGAGAACCGGCCCAGCCAGAGTGGCAGCAGGGAGGGAGGGAGGGAGGGAGGGAGGGCCGGGCGCCCCGCCCTGGGCTCACCTGCTCCAGCACCTGGATGGTGCCCGCCTGCTCGTCCAGCTCCTCCTCTTGGTCTTTGGCTTGGGCCTCCAGGTCCCGCAGCTGCTTGCGCACCTTGGCCAGGGAGGCTTCGTCCTTCGACTCCTGGCTGGAGAGGTCGTGCAGCTCGGCCTCCAGGGCCTGGACCTTCTGCGTGGCCGTCAAGATCTGGGCCTCCTTCTCCTGGGATGGGGGGGGGGGAGAGGAAAGGGGGGGGGAAGAGGGCGTTTGCGGAGGGAAAGGGAGGTGGAGGATAAAATTTGAGAGCTGGAAGGGACCTCGCAGGTCATCTAGTCCAACCCCCGGGGCCCAGGGAAGAGGTCTCTGAGGAGCTTCCGCCCATTGTCCTCTCTTCTTCCCTCCCTTCTTTCCTCCCTCCCTCCCTTCCTTTTTTCTCCGTTCCTTCTTCCTTCCCTTCCTTCCTCTTTTCTCCATTCTTCCTTTCTTCTTTCCTCCCTTTATCTCCTTCTTCCCTTTTTTCTTCCTTTCCTTCCTCCCTCCCTTTCTTTCTCCATTCTTCCTTTCTTCTCTCCTCCCTTCATCTCCTTCCTTCTTTCCCTCCTTTCTTTTTCATTCTTCCTTTCTTCTTTCCTCCCTTTATCTCCTTTTTCCCTTTTTTCTTCCTTTCCTTCCTTCCTCCCTCTTCCTTTCTCCATTCTTCCTTTCTTCTCTCCTCCCTCCATCTCCTTCCTTCCCTCCTTCCCTTTGTTCATTCTTCCTTTCTTCTTCCCTCCCTTCATCTCCTTCCTTCCTTCCCTCCCTTTCTTTCTTTTCTTCCTCCCTTTCTTTCTCCATTCTTCCCTTCTTCTCTCCTCCCTTCATCTCCTTCCTTCCCTTTTTTCATTCTTCCTTTCTTCCCTCCCTTCATCTCCTTCCTTCCTTCCCTTTCTTTCTTTTCTTCCTCCCTCTCTTCCTTTCTCCATTCTTCCTTTCTTCTCTCCTCCCTCCATCTCCTTCCTTCCCTCCTTTCCTTCCTCTTTTCTCCATTCTTCCTTTCTTCTTCCCTCCTTTCATCTCCTTCTTCCCTTCCTCCCCCCCTTCTTTCCTTCTTTCTTTTTTCCATTCTTCCATTCTTCTTCCCTCCCTTCATCCCCTTCCTTCCTTCCTTGCTTCTTCCCTCCCTTCTTCCCTCCCTCCCTCCCTCATAGGGCTGGGAGGGACCTTGGAGGTCTTCTAGTCCAACCCCCGCCCCCTGGTAAGAGTCCTTATACCAGTGATGGCAAACCTTTTACAGACCGAGGGCCCAAACTGCAACCCAAAACCCACTTCTGCATTGTTGGGTGCTGGGTGGGTGTGGCCCATTGGGTGGGTGTGACCCATTGGGTGGGCGTGGCCCATTGGGTGGGCGTGGCTGCGGTGGTAACGGCAGACTGGGTGGGACTAAAAAGTTCAATCCATCAATTCCAACTTTGCAAGATCTTTTTTTTTCCCTCGCGAGAAGTTGAAATTGACTGATGGATTGAACCTTTTTTTTTTTTTTGGCCCACGGCGGCGGAGGCCTAAAGCGAAAAGGTTTTATAAAACCCATCTGAAGGCCTAGGACTGGGATAACAGCGCACGTGCCCAAAGAGAGGGCTCTGAGTGCCGCCTCTGGCACCCGTGCCGTAGGTTCGCCACCACTGTCTTATACCATCCCAGACAACCTTATCTTGAAGACTTCCAGGGATGGAGCACCCACGACTTCTGGTGGCAAGCTGTTCCACTGGTTAATTTTCCTCTCTGTCAGGAAACTCCTCCTTAATTCCAGCTTGCATCTCCCTCTGACTTCAACTCCCAGAATTTCCCAGCCAGCACGCTTTAAGATGAGTGAATATAGAATCCTAGGACGGGAAGGGACCTTAAGAGGTCCTCTATTCCAACCCACTGCTCAAAGTAGAAGAGATTATGCCATTCTGGACAAATGGCTGTCTGGTCTCTTCTTTAAAAACCACCTTTCCTCCCTTTTTTCTCTCTCTTTTCCCTTCTTCCTTCCTTCCTTTCTTCCCTCCTTCTCCTTCCTTCCTTCCTTCTTTCCTTCCTTCCTTCCTTCCTTTTCCCTCCCTCCTTCTCATTCCCATCTCCTTCCTTCCTTCCTTCCTTCCTTCCTTCCTTCCTTCCTTCCTTCCTTCCTTCCCTCCCTCCCTCCCACTCTCCCTCCCTTTTTTTCTTTCCTGTCACGGTGGTGCAGTGGTTAGAATGCAGCATTGCAGTCTAAACTCTGCCCACAGCCTGGAAGATCGATCCTGACCAGCTCCAGGTTGACTCAACCTTCCGTCCTTCCGAGGTCGGTAAAAGGAGGACCCAGATTGTCGGGGGCAAATAGGCTGACTCCATAAACCACTCAGAGGGGGCTGTAAAGCACCGTAAAGTGGTCTATAAGTCTAAGGCAGTGGTTCTCAACCTTTTTAATGCCGCGACCCCCAACCGGTTGTAAGTCGAGGACTACTCAACCGGTCGTAAGTCGAGGACTACTCAACTGGTGCAGCACCGTTTGCAGAATGGGACTTTTGGCGGGCTCAGCAGGGCAGAGACAGCCTGGACAATTCCTATTGGCTTTTGAAAGCCAATAGAATTAGACTCTATTCAAGAGAGTCTCTTCTATTGGCTTTCAAAAGCCAATAGAATAAAAGGGAGTAGCACAGCTAAGGAAAAGGGGGGGGGGGAAATGGCGGACTGCGTTGTTTGGCGACCCCCGTGAAATGGTCGTTCCACCCCCAAATGGGGTCCCGACCCACAGGTGGAGAACCACTGGTCTAGGGTTTCCTGCCTGAGCAGGGGGCTGGACTAGATGACCTCCAAGGTCCCTTCCAACTTTATTATTATTATTATTGCGCAATTATGAAATGGTCGTTCGACCCCAAATGGGGTCCCGACCCACAGGTGGAGAACCGCTGGTTTAGGGGCTCTTGCGATTGCTAAAACGAAGGAGAACCCCGGCGGGCAGAGGGGGCATCGGCGTCAGGACCACCCACCTCCAGCTGCTGCTTGAGGCCGAAGACCTCGGCGATCAGCATGTCCTTCTCGCGCCCTAGTTTTTCCCGCCCCTGTTTCTCACGCTGGGCTTCCTCGTGAGCTTGGGACAGCTCGCTATCAAACCTATTCGACAGACAGACGGAAAAATGCAAAGAGACAATTAAGGGGAGGGTCCTCCTGGCTGCTTCCACCCCCCCCCCAAGCCAGCTGCAACCCCTGGAGAAGACGCTTGCTGCCTAACCCCCCCCAACCCAATTTCACCGGCGGAATGTTTCGTCTGGCGACGGCTGCTGTGGGGGACCCTAAGCGGATCAGGAATTGAATCAAATTCCCATTCGATCCGCTTCGAGATCAGGAACGCCGTGGCAGATGCTGCCAAAGTTAGCTCTAAACTCGGGGTGGGCAACTCCGTGTGTAACTCCGAGTGGCGGGCACAATTGGGCCCAAAATTTATCTCGGTAAGGGAGGCCCTTTGTTAAGGGAGCCTTGCCTCGCTTTACGACGCCCCTGGCCACAGTCATTAAGTCAGTGGTTCTCAACCTTTTTCATGCCGCGACCCCCCAACCGGTCGTAAGTCGAGGACTGCTCCACCGGTCGTAAGTCGAGGACTACTCAACTGGTGCAGCACCGTTTGCAGAGTGGGACTTTTGGCGGGCTCAGCAGGGCAGAGACAGCCTGGACAATTCCGATTGGCTTTTGAAAGCCAATAGAATTAGACTCTATTCAAGAGAGTCTATTCTATTGGCTTTCAAAAGCCAATAGAATAAAAGGGAGCAGCACAGCTAAGGAAAAGGGGGGAAAAAATGGCGGACTGCGTTGTTTGACGACCCCCGTGAAATGGTCGTTCGACCCCAAATGGGGTCCCGACCCACAGGTTGAGAACCACTGCATTAAGTGAATCACTGCCATGGGTAACATGGTCATTAAGTGAAACCGGCTTTCTCCCCCCACCCCGGGGATCCCCAGATACCCCTGAGACTGTTTCTTTGCAGACCCCCCCCCAAAAACAAGACATACATACATACATACACAGACAGACACACACACACATATACACACAGCTTTTTTGCAGACCCCCCACACCCAATTTGCAGGTTGGAGATTTTGCTGCCAGTCCCCCTGCCCCCCCTGCTGCCAGGAGCCCCCTCCCCATTAAGCCCAGGCTCAGCTGGGGGCTTCTCTGCAGTGTTTACAAGCTTTTAATTTCCTCCAGGAGCGCACAAAGCAGGAGCAAAGATTACTCCTGGCGCCTTTCCTGAATTGCTAATTGAGAGATCTCAGGCAGTTAGTAATTTGGGGAGGGGGAGGGAAGAGCTGGGGAGGGAATGGAGCATGAAGGAAGATTGGGGAGGGGGATGCAGGGAGGGGGGGGGAGAAGCAGGCCCCTTCTTGGCTGGTGGAAGGTGCAAAGTGCTGGGCTGGCCAGGTGGGCACACCGGCTTGGGATGAGTGAGACAAGGGCAAAGGAGGGTGTGGGGTGATGCCAAGGGGAGGGGGAGGGGGTGGGGGGACCCCAGCTACCTTTTGCCATTGCTGGAGGGAAGGGGGGGTAGCTGGCAGCCCTCCCCCCCTCCCTTCTGCCTCCAGCCTCCTTCGGTTGATTTAATTTGGATTATTTCGTCCGGCCGTTTCTCCGCCGGCCACTTTATAAAGACAGGTGGACTTCAACTCCCAGAAGTCCCCAGACCAGCCACTTTATAAAGACAGGTGGACTTTAACTCCCAGAATTCCCCAGACGGCTACCCCATCTTGAAGGGGCCGGGGTTGAGAAACACACAGGCTTTCGCCCATGGAACTCCTTGTCGGAAGATGACAGCCCGGAGGCAGAGCTGGACTTTTCAACAGATTGGGTAACTTCAGCAGGGAGGATGTCCCTCCCACCCCCCCCCAGCTGAGCTTCCCTATGCAGAGATAGTCTACCTAGAGAATTCCAGCAAGGAGCAGAGAAAGCAGGCTCCCTTCTGCTCCTCTGTTGCCTAAGATGAAGTTGGTCTGTCTGCCCATTTATTATCCATCCATCCATCCATCCATCTACATCTATCATTATCTATCTATATCTGTCAACTATCTTTGTCTCATTTGTCTATCTCATCTATCTCTATATATCTGTATATACCTCTGCCTACACATCCATCCCTTCCTCCACCCACCCACCCTTCTTTCTTTCTTTCTTTCTTTCTTTCTTTCTTTCTTTCTTTCTTTCTTTCTTTCTTTCTTTCTTTCGTTTAATCTATCATGTTTATTTATCCTACATTTCTGTCTGTCTATTTATGTAATCTATCCGTCCATTATGTTTGTCAGTCCTTTCTTTTCCTTCTCTCTCTCTCTCTCTCTTTCTCTCTCCTCTTTCTCTCTCCCTCCCTCCCTACTTACCTATCTATCTTCACCTGGTTCCTTTCTTTCTTTCTCTCTTTCTTTCTTTCTTTCTCTCCTTCCTTCCTTCTTTCCTTCTTTCTTTCTTCACCTGGTTCCCCCCCACACTCTCTCTTATCTATTTATATCTGTCTGTCTGTCTGTCTATCTATCTATCTATCTATCTATCTATCTATCTATCTATCTAAATATTTCTATCTACCTACCTACCTACCTATCTCTCTATCTACCTACCTACCTAACTACCTACCTAAATATTTCTATCTATCTATCTACCTGTCTGTCTGTCTACCTACCTACCTACCTACCTACCTACCTACCTACCTACCTACCTACCTACCTACCTACCTATCTATCTATCTATCTATCTCTTATCTTATTTAAAAAAATGCCCATCTCCCTCAAAGAACGACGCTGGGCTGTCTACAAACAGACATACGGTAGAAATATAAACTGCTAAACATAGATACTATAATAAAACCAGTTAAAAAGGATAAACCCAATCAAAATTAAACAGTGTACGAAGATCACCGCGCGCGCGCGCGCGCGTGTGTGTGTGTGTGTGTGTGTGTGTGTGTGTGTGTGTGTGTCTGGGCGAAAGGGGGTCTCAAACAGCATGGGGGGGGGCTTGCCCTGCCCTGCCTGGGAGGGAGACAGAGCAGGAGAGGCGGGGAGGGGGGGAGAAGGAGTGAAAGCCCCCAGGCCAATTTGTAGCCTGGCTCCGCACAATGTGTGTGTGAGAGTGTGTGTGTGTGAGAGGCGTCCAGGCGTGGAAGGCCCGGCCTCTCTTTGCACCTGGTAATCAAGAGAGGCTGCTGCACTCTGGAAATTGGACTTAATTAGGCCGATTCTCTTTCTCTCTTGCCCAGGGTTTTCCCCTCACCCCCCCCCCCATCATTACTGTAATGAGATTAAAGTCTCTTGGCTGCTTCAAGGGCTTTTTTCTTCTTCTTCCTTTTCACAGGGAGGAAGGAGTTCAAAAGCACAGCAAGGGGAGGGAGGGCAAAGGGGGGCAGAGACCCCTGCCCCTTCTTCCATGCTTTATCCCTCCCGCCCTCCCTCCCTTCCTTCTTCCTGTTCTCCCCAAACCTGCCTCCCCTCCAGCACTGATGATGCTCCCTAGTTGGGTCATGAAAGGTCTGCAAGGAAACCATCCAGCTCAGAGGGCACTCAGGACCCCACAGTCCCTTCCTCCTCCTCCTCCTCCTCCTCCTCCTCCTCCTCCTCCTCCTCCTCCTTTCTAGCCCTGATGATGTTCCCTAGATGGGTCATGAAATGTCTGCAAGGAAACCGCCCAGCTCAGAGATCAATAAAGACTCCAGAATCCTCTTCTCTCTCCTCTCCCTCTTCCCCCGTCCATTCCTTCCTCTTCTCGTCCTCCTCTTTCTCCTCCTCCCTCCCTCCCTTCTAGCACTGATAATGTTCCCTAGTTGGGTCATGAAATGTCTGCAAGAAAAACACCCAGCTCAGACAGCACCAAGGACTCCATACTCCTCCTCCTCCTCCTTCTTCTACTTCTTTCCTCGTGCTCCTCCTCCTCCTCTCCTGCTCCTCCTTCTTCTACTTCTTTCCTCCTCCTCCTCTTCCTCTTCCTCCTCGACGCCCTTTTTGCAAACCCCATTCCCTCCTCGCACTGATGATGTTCCCTAGTTGGGTCATGAAATGTCTGCAAGAAAACCACCCAGCTCAGAGAGCATCAGGGACCCCACAGTTCTCCTCCTCCTCCTCCTCCTCCTCCTCCTCCTCCTCCTCCTCCTCCTCCTCTCCACAAACCCCACACCCTTCTAGCCCTGATGAGGTTCCCTAGTTGGGTCATGAAACGTCTGCCAGAAAAGCACCCAGCTCAGAGAGCACCAGGGACCAAACAGTCCTCTCCTCCTCCCCCCCCACCCCCCCCCCGCAGTATGGACCCTGCCCGCCGCCCCCTCCTCACCGCCGCTGCTTCTTCTCCAGCTCGTGGTTGCGGCCCTGTTGCCCTTCCAGGTGCAGCTTGGTGTCCTGCAGCTCGGCCGTCAGGCGCTGGCACTTCTTCCGGAGGGTTTGCAGTGCCCGCTGGGTCTCCTCGCTATCGGCCTGCAAGTCGGTCAGCTGCCCCGGAAAGACCCCCGAGAGGAGGGGCGCTTTCAGCAGACCCGGCTCCTCTCCCACCGCCCAAGGCGCCCCCCCCCTCCCCGAGAGAGACGCCAGAGGACGCTTCCGTGGGGCTTCCGCCACCCCAATGGGGGAAACCCCCAGGCAGAAACCCCCCCCCCCGGAGGCCTCGAGAGACCCCCCCCCCAAGGGAGACCCCTTACCCGTCTCTCCAGCTGCCGCTTGCTCTGCTGCTCCACCTCCAGCTTGTCCTCAAACTCCTGCTGCAGCCGCTTCTTGGTGAAGTCGATCTCCCGGGATGCGCGCTCGTACTTCAGGCGCCATTCCCCCCCTGGGGGCAGGAGAAAGCCAGCGGGCAGCACGACCTGGTGGTTAGGGCATCGCCCCCTCCCCAAAACAGACCCTGTCCTGCTGGCAAGCTATGCTGGCCCGGGGATTCTGGGAGTGGAAGCCCACCCCTCTTAAAACAGGCTGGCTGGGGGATTCTGGGAGGGGAAGCCCACCCCTCTTAAAGCGGGGATTCTGGGAGGGGAAGCCCACCCCTCTTAAAGCAGGCTGGCTGGGGGATTCTGGGAGGGGAAGCCCACCCCTCTTAAAGCAGGCTGGCTGGGGGATTCTGGGAGTGGAAGCCCACCCTTCTTAAAGCAGGCTGGCTGGGGGATTCTGGGAGGGGAAGCCCACCCCTCTTAAAGCAGGCTGGCTGGGGGATTCTGGGAGGGGAAGCCCACCCTTCTTAAAGCAGGCTGGCTGGGGATTCTGGGAGTGGAAGCCCACCCCTCTTAAAGCAGGCTGGCTGGGGAATTCTGGAAGCCCACCCCTCTTAAAGCAGGCTGGATAGGGGATTCTGGGATTGGAAGCCCACCCCTCTTAAAGCGGGAATTCTGGGAGTGGAAGCCCACCTCTCTTAAAGCAGGCTGGATGGGGGATTCTGGGAGGGGAAGCCCACCCCTCTTAAAACAGGCTGGCTAGGGAATTCTTGGAGTGGAAGCCCACCCCTCTTAAAGCAGGCTGGCTGGGGAATTCTGGGAGGGGAAGCCCACCCCTCTTAAAACATGTTGGCTAGGGAATTCTGGGAGTGGAGGTCCACGTTTCTTAAGGTTGCCAAGGTTGAGAAAGACCACTGTCCCTGTTCCGTAAATGAGCCCCGGTCCAGGAAACTGACAGCGCAGCCTAGGGCCACCGAGGAAAGAGGAAGGAGAGGCGAGAACTGGCTGCCTAAGAGATGACCTCACCTGTATCGTCATCGTCCATCTCTCCGTTCAGCTCCGCCGCCCGGATCAGACGGGCCTCCATCACTTCCATCTCCATGGAGTCCATTTGTTTCTTGAGGGCATCGTACTTGGCCTGTGTGGGGAGGAGGGTAACAGAAGGTCAGGAGGGCAGCCACCCCACCCTCTGGGCTGGGTCCCAAGGAAGGCGTGCTGTCCAGGAGTTGTTTAGCCAGAGATTTTCAATCTTGGCCACTTTTAAGACTTGTGAACTTCAACACCCAGAATTCCACAGCCAGCCAAGGTGGTGCCCAGCTGGGTGGGCTAGGAACAAGATGAAGTCCTAGTCCTTGGGTTATGACCGTAATGGAGCCTGCCCAGAGCAGCTGTAAGTTGGAACGGTTGTAAAACAGGTCGGTTAGGGCAGGGTGTCCAACCTTGGCAACTTTCAAGACCTGTGGACCAACTCCCAGAATTCCCAAGGCAGCCATGTCCACAGGTTTTAAAGCTAGCTGGGGGAATTCTGGGAGTGGAAGTCCACAAGATGGTTAGGGAATTCTGGGAGTGGAAGTCCTCAAGTCTTAAAGATGGCTAGGGAATTCTGGGAGTTTTAGTCCACAAGTCTTAAAGCTGGCTGGGGAATTCTGGGAGTGGAAGTCCACAAAAGGGGCCAAACCTGGAGACCCCTGGTTTAGCCAAAGGCAGGATGGTGTTGACCAACAACTTGGACCCGAGGCTGGGAGGGCCACTTAGTCAGGAGGAATTGTGCGTTGTGATTTTATCCTTCTTTCTGGCAGATGTGAGGCTCCCCTCTGCATTCCCTAGGCCAGGGGTAGGCAACCTTGGCTCTTTTATGACTGGTGGACTTCAACTCCCAGAATTCCTGAGCCAGCATGGGGGAACTATGGCCCCCTCATGACTCGTGGACTTCAACTCCCAGAATTCCTGAGCCAGCATGGGGGAACTATGGCCCCTTCATGACTCGTGGATTTCAACTCCCAGAATTCCTGAGCCAGCATGTGGGAATTATGCCCCCCTTCATGACTCGTGGACTTCCTCCCAGAATTCCTGAGCCAGCATGGGGGAACTATGGCCCCTTCATGACTCGTGGACTTCCTCCCAGAATTCCTGAGCCAGCATGGTTCAGCTTGGAAACCTCTCCCTTTCCCCTCAGCATGGCTGGCTCAGGAATTCTGGGAGTTGAAGTCCAAAAACTGCTTTGGGGAGCTCATGGCGCAGCACGGAACACCGCCAAGTCAAAAATGCTATTTTTGGGCAGGGAAGAGGCAGCATGCACAGCATCCACCTGCTTCGCTGTCTGGTGCCCGACCAAATTTTCCCATGGATTTGTTTTTTTAATATTGCTTCTCAAACCTCTTTTAAGACGGATGTTTCCATTTTGAATACGCTGCAACTGGAAACAGCATCGCCAAGGACATCCCTGTCAGGGCCACCAGGATCCCTCGACTTATAACAGTCCGTTTAGTGACCGTTCAAAGTTACAAGGGCACTGGGAAAGTGGCTTACGACCGTTTTTTCACACTTACGACCGTTGCAGCATCCTCCGGGTCACGGGATCATAATTCAGGCACTTGCCACTGGCTTGTATATTGATGACGGTCGCAGCGTCCCGGGAGGGGTCACGTGACCCCCTTTTGCGACTTTCTGATAAGCAAAGTCAAACGGGGGGGAGCCGGATTCACTTAACGGCCATGTGACTAAGTTACCAATGGCAGGTTAATAGATCTTGAAATTGCCCTTGCAAGGCAAATGTTAAATGAACTTTATCCCATTTCATCATCGTTGTTTGTCCCAGTTGTTAAGCAAATCACTGCAGTTTTTAATCATTTTTTTTCCTGATGCCCACCTGCTCTGCAAGGTGGCTGTGAGTGGGTAGTTAAGTTTAGAACAGAATGGAACAGAACAGAGAGTAGAGTAGAGTAGAGAAGAATATAGAATGGAATGGAATGGAATGGAATAGAATAGAATATAGAATATGGAATGGAATGGAATAGAATAGAATAGAATAGAATAGAATAGAATAGAATAGAATAGAATAGAATAGAATAGAATAGAATAGAATAGAATATAGAATATAGAATATGGAATGGAATAATAGAATAGAATAGAATAGAATAGAATAGAATAGAATAGAATAGAATAGAATAGAATAGAATAGAATAGAATATAGAATATAGAATATGGAATGGAATGGAATGGAATGGAATAGAATAGAATAGAATAGAATAGAATAGAATAGAATAGAATAGAGAATATAGAATAGAATAGAATAGAATAGAACAGAACAGAATAGAACGGAATATGGAATATGGAATGGAATAAAATAAAATAGAATAATGAATAGAACATAACAGAATATGGAATATGGAATGGAATGGAGTAGAGTAGAGTAGAGTAGAATAGAATAGAATATAGAATATAATAGAATAATGAATAGAATAGAGTAGAGTAGAGTACAGTGGAGTGGAATGGAATGGAATGGAATAGAATGGAATGGAATAGAATAGAATATAGAATAGAATAGAATAGAATTCTTTATTGGCCAAGTGTGATCAGACGCACGAGGAGTTCATTAAGTGACTCATTGCAGTCATTAAGTGAATCCGGCTTCCCCGTTGACTTTGCTTGTCAGTAGGTGGCAAAAAGGCGATCAGGTGCCCCTGGGACGCTGTGGCCGTCATAAATACGGGTCCCTTAATAAACTCCTGGCCAAGCGTCCGAATTCTGATCACACAAAGACGGGGATGCTGCGACGGTTCGTAGGAGGGGAAACCGATTTAAGTCCCTTTTTTCCCCAATGGTGTTTCGACTTCCAATCATCGCTAAACGGGGACTCCCCGTCTTCCAGACGCATTCTCTCAAGTGTCCCTTGTGAATCCAACTCCAGCCCGGAGCCTCTCTCGGCTCACCTGCAGATCCTTCATGTCCTTCTCCCCCCGTAGGCGCTCGGCCGTCTCCGCGTCCAGACGCTGGGAAGCCGACTCTCCGGTGTTCCTCTCGTCCGTCAGCTCTGACGTTAGCTCCGCGACCTGAGAGGAGGAGGAAACAGAAGTTGGCCCACAGCCAGGGGGGTGGGGAGGGGGGTTTGGAATGGAAGCCCACCGGAATCGGATGTTTTCGCATTGACAACAGAGGGAAACGTAGCCACCTTTTCCCTTTTGCTTTTAGAGTTAGATGATGCTGGGAAGGAGGGATGTGAAGGAGAGTCCAGCTAGACATAACAACACTAAACCTAGCCTGAGAATCAAGGTTATTGAAATAAGAGATGATAAGAATTGGCCCAGGCTGGAGAGCTGGAGAGGAAGCCTGCTTTCAAGTTAATTGGGGAATGTGATTTATGACTAATTGGAGGAGGGAATTGCACATTGATACTATGTGCCCAGGGGAGGGGAATTCAGTTTTTGACTTCGATTATGCAGTGCCGATGTTATGCTATTCGGATAAAAGATTCTTTAAGGTAAACAACGCCTCGAAGTTCTTTTGAAGAGTTTCGTCTCTCGGAACTATGACACTTCCCCTCTTTGAGAATCCGCTAAAGAAAAACCCAGATGTATTAGAAGTCGTGTCCCCCCACTCAACATCTGGATTTTGTGGAACAGGTCAGGGCTAACCCCCTGCCACTGGCCTTCAAGGAGAAATCTGATTAATTGAAGGATGGGTGTTCCTGATCCGTTTCTTTATCAAAATTTTCTTTCTTTACTTTCTCCAGGTGTCAAATGTATTTATGCGCCAACCATTCATTTCTTCATAAAATGACTTATGGACTATTGATAGAATTTGCTTGTTTTATTTATAAAAATGAATTTATTTATTTACAGCAGGGGTCTCCAAAGTTGACCACTTTAAGACTTGTGGACTTCAATTCCCAGAATTCCTCAGCCAGCCCTGCATCTCTGGCTACTGTCCCACGGGTCAGTGTTTTTCGAGTGTGGATCCTTTAAGAGGTGTGGACTTCAACGCCTTAAAGACGGGTCTTCCAACTTGGCCCTTGTTCAACTCCCAGAATTCCCCATCCAGGGAATTGAAGTCTCCCCCTCTTAAAGCAGGCTGACTGGGGGATTCTGGGAGTGGAAGCCCAGCCCTCTTAAAGCATTCTGGCTGGGGAATTCTGGGAGTGGAAGCCCACCCCCTTAAAGCATGCTGACTGGGGGATTCTGGGAGTGGAAGCCCACCCCTCTTAAAGCAGGCTGGCTAGGGGATTCTGGGAGTGGAAGCCCACCCCTCTTAAAGCAAACTGGCTGGGGGATTCTGGGAGTGGAAGTCCCCCCCCTTAAAGCTTGCTTGCTGGGGAATTCTAGGAGTGGAAGCCCACCCCTCTTAAAGCAGGCTGGTTGGGGGATTCTGGGAGTGGAAGCCCACCCCTCTTAAAGCATGCTGACTGGGGGATTCTGGGAGTGGAAGTCCTCCCCTCTTAAAGGGGCCAAGTCTGAAAAAACAGTTACGATCTCAGAGGATCAGAGAGGAGAAAGGCCAGCCGTGAGCTTAATGGAGGCTGAAGATTCAATCCTGGACATCATTTAGATTCACCTTATTGGCCAAATGAGCAGCATTTAATTGATTTAATTAACGAGATGCTGCTTGCCAAAAAAAGGGCAGGGATGGTCGGGCAGATGCAAAGCCAGGCCGGGAGATGTTCCTGCTTCTTCTGATCTTCTGCAGAACTTTCTGCCCTCACCCTAAAAGTCCAGGCAAGTGGCAGACGCTACTCCTGGTTGCAGAGCTCCTCGTCTACTCCCTAAGTACAGGCAGTCCTCAACTTAACGACTGCAATGGAGTCCAACATTTCTGTCACTAAGTAGGGGAGCTGTTAAGTCAGCTTTGCCCCGTTTTACGACCTTCCTTGCCATCGTGAACTGCTGTCGTCGCTAAGTGAGACACACAGTTGTGAAGCAAATCCAGCTTCCCCCATTGGCTGGGCTGGTCGGAAGGTCGCAAGAGGGGATCCCGCGACCGTCGTAAACGTGAGTCAGTGGCCCGGTGTCTGAATTTTGATCGTGGGACCGTTGGGGGGGGGTGTCGATTAGCGTGAAAAAACAGTCGCGAAGTCACTTTTTTTTCAGTGCCGTGGTTAACGTGGATCGGTCGCTAAACGAACGGTCGTTAAGTCGAGGACTTTAACTTGGGGGGGGGGAGGATTTCAAGGCCTTACCTTGCTCTCCAAACGGTCGCTGCTCAGCCGCAGTTCGTTCCGCTCTTTCTCCACCTTCTCCAGGCGGCCCTTTAGCTGCTGGATTTCTTCCTGCGAGGAGAAGGAAAAGCAGGCTGCGAGAGCGCCAGAGTTTCGGCCCCGGGTTGGGAAGTCGGGCTGGAAGGGGCCCTGGAGGTCTTCTAGTCCAACCCCCTGCCCCAGGCAAGAGTCCTTGCAGCTTCCCAATCTTCCCATTGCCAGGAAATTTCTCCTTTGGTTCCAGGTTGGGTCTCCCTCTGAGGGGTTTGCCCACCCTCCCTTTCTTCCTTTTTTCCTTCCCTTCTTTCTTTCTTTCCTTCCTTCCTTTCCTCCCATGTCCCTCCCTCCTTTCCTTCCTTCCTCCCTCCATCTCATCCCTCCCACTTTTTCTTTCTTTCTTTTTCTCCCCTTTCCTTCCTTCCTCTCCTCCCTCGTCCCACCCTCACTTCCTCCCTCTCTCCTTCCTCTCCCTCTTTTCTTTCTTCCTTTCTTTTTCTCCCTTTCTTCCTCCTTCCCTCCCTCTTTCTCCTTTCCTTCCATCCTTCCTCCCTCCCTTCCTTTCCTTTCTTTCACCCCTCCCTCCCTTTCTTTCTCTCCTTCCAATTTCCTTCCTCGCTCCCTCCCTTCCTCCCTCCTTCCCTCCCTCTCTTCCCTTTCTTCCTTCTTTCCTTCTCTCCTTCCTTTCCTTCCTCACTCTCCCTCCCTCTCCTTCCTTCCTTCCTCCCTCCCTCTCCTCCTTTCCTTTCTTCCCTTCCTCCCTTTCCTTCTCTCCTTCCTCTTTCCTTCCTCACTCCCTCCCTCTCCTTCCTTCCTCCCCCCTCCCTCTCTTCCTTTCTTCCCTCCCTCCCTTTCTTTCCTTCTCTCCTTCCTTTCTTTCCTTCCTCCCTCCCTCCCTTCTTCTAGAATCATAGGCCTGGAAGGGACCCGGGAGTCATCTAGTCCAGCTCCTTGCTTGATCAGGAGACCTTACACCACCCCAGACCAACGGCCGTCCAATCTCTTCCTCAAAGCCTCCAGTGATGGAGTACCTGCAACTTCTCAAGGGAAGCCCTTCTTCTTTTCACTATCATTTAATATCCCAAAATCCCTCCCTACGTCCAGGCCGGACTCTCCCTCTGACTTCAATTCCTGGGAATTCCCCAGCCGGCAGGCTTTAAGATGGGTGGACTCAGAGGTCATCTAGTCCAGCCCCCTGCCCCGGGCAAGAGTCCTTATTATACCACGTAGGCAAATGGACGCCCAGTTTTCCCTTGAACCTAACCCAACCCTTGTTGGCTGGGGGATTCTGGGAGCTGAAATCCACCGGTCAGGAAGGGGCCCTAGTTCTCCATCCCTATATTATTCGTGGTCAATGAAAGAACACCGCGATGTAAAAAAGATGCTGAGACTCTAGAAAGAGTGCAGAGAAGAACAACAAAGATGATCAGGGGACTGGAGGCTAAAACATATAAGGTTGCTGGAATTGGGGATGTCTAGTTTAACGAAGAGAAGGACGAGGGGAGACAGGATAGCAGCCTTCCGGTATCTCAGGAGCTGCCCCAAAGAAGAGGCAGTCAAGCTATTCTCCAAAGCACCTGAAGGCAGGACAAGAAGCAACGGATGGAAACTCATCAAGGAGAGAAGCAACCTAGAACTAAGGAGGAATTTCATGATAGTTAGAAAAATTAACCAGTGGAACAACCTGCCTCCAGAAGCGGTGAATGCTCCAACACTGGAAGTTTTTAAGAAGAGACCGGACAGCCATTTGTCCGAAATGGGATAGGGTTTCCTGCCTGAGCAGGGGGTTGGACTAGATGACCTCCAAGGTCCCTTCCAACTCTATTCTATTCTAAGAGACTGGACTGCCATTTGTCCAAAATGGGATAGGGTTTCCTGCCTGAGCAGGAGGTTGGACTAGATGACCTCCAAGGTCCCTTCCAATTCTATTCTATTCTAAGGGACTGGACTGCCATTTGTCCGAAATGGGATAGGGTTTCCTGCCTGAGCAGGAGGTTGGACTAGATGACCTCCAAGGTCCCTTCCAACTCTATTCTATTCTAAGGGACTGGACTGGACTAGATGACCTCCAAGGTCCCTTCCAACTCTATTCTATTCTAAGGGACTGGACTGGACTAGATGACCTCCAAGGTCCCTTCCAACTTTACTATTATTATTAATTTCCCCAGTTCTTCTTCAAGACCCACCCTAGGGGGGGGGTCCCTCCCTCCTCCAGCCAGGAGACCCACGTACATCTTTGGCCCGGATCTGGTCCTCCGTCAGCTGAACCTCAATCAGAGGCCGAACGGTGGTAAAAAGTTTCCACCAAGGCCAGCCCTTCACGCCCTTATTCTTCTTGATGTTCTTCTGGACGCAACGGATAGCCAGGTCCTGAATCTGCATTGGGGGGGGGGGAACAAGAGGGGAAGAGAAGAGGATCAGGCCAAGAGGAGCCCCTTCCCCTGTGCAGGGCAGGGCCGAAACCAGGACACCCACGCCCCCCTCGGCCCTTCTCCGGCCCTTCTCCGTGGTCCTTCCAAAGGCTTCAGAAGGGTCCAAGGAAGAACTCAACTTACGAGAAGACCAGGCGGACTCTCTTTCGCTACATCAGCGGTTCTCCACCTGTGGGTCGGGACCCCATTTGGGGTCGAACGACCATTTCACGGGGGTCGCCAAACAACGCAGTCCGCCATTTTTTCCCCCCTTTTCCAGCTGTGCTCCTCCCTTTTATTCTATTGGCTTTTGAAAGCCAATAGAACAGACTCTCTTGAATAGAGTCTAACTCTATTGGCTTTCAAAAGCCAATAGGAATTGTCCAGGCTGTCTCTGCCCTGCTGAGCCCGCCAAAAGTCCCGTTCTGCAAACGGTGCTGCACCAGTGGAGTAGTCCTCGACTTACGACCGGTTGGGGGGGGGTCGCGGCATTAAAAAGGTTGAGAACCACTGCACTACATCGATCTATCCATCCCTCCCTCCTTATCTATATTATTTATCTATCTCTATGAAATCTATTTATATCTGCCCATCCATCCGTAATGTCTTTACATCCTATCCTATCCTTCGTTTCTTTCTTTCTTCTTTCTTTCTTTCCTTTCTTTCTTACTTTCTTTCTTCTTTCTTCTTTCTTTTTTTTACTTTCTTTCTTACTTTCTTCTTTCTCTATTTTTTACTTTCTTACTTTCTTTCTTCTTTCTCTTTCTTTTTTTACTTTCTTTCTTACTTTTTTTCTTTCCTTTCTTTCTTTTTTCCTTTTTTTCTTTTCTTTCTTTCTTTCATCTGTCTGTCTGTCTGTCTGTCTGTCTGTCTGTCTATCTATCTATCTATCTATCTATCTATCTATCTATCTATCTATCTATCTATCTATCTATCCCAGACATGTCAAACACAAGGGCCGGGGACCGGATGCGGCCCGCAAAGTGGTTTCATGTGGCCTGCGAAGCCATCCTGGAAACAGTGAGGGAATGACCCCCGCTGCCTTGGCCCTGGCCCAGGCCAGCCAGGAGCCAATGTACAATTTTGTGGTGGCCATCTATGCTGAAACACATTCAGTCTTCGCTCCACAAGGCTGCCTAGAAACAGCGAGGAACCAGCCCCTGGGTGCATGTCGGCCCTGTCCCCTGGGTGCGTGCTGGGGAGGGGTCCCCCTTTGTGAGGAATGAAGAAATGGACCATCACCTGGAAGTGGCCAGCAAATGGCCCTCGCCTACGTCACCTATCCAGCTTGATGGACTCTGCCCTGGTCCCCCCCCCTTCTGCCAGAGACCCTCAGATCTGCCCCACTCCTGCCCAGGCCCCCACAGGCACCCTTGACACGAATGATGTAGAACTGGCCACGCCCACCTAGTAGGCCCCACCCACTCCCTCCACGCCCACCCAGTAGGCCGCCCCCCCCTCCCGAGGGAAACTGCAATGCTGATGCGGCCCTCAATGAAATTGAGTTTGACACCTCTGATCTATGTTTATTTATCGTGTATCTATCATGTCTATCTATTTATCTGTCTCTACCTATCTATTTATGTCTGTCCATCCAGCCAGCCATTATGTCTGTCTATCCTATCCTATCCTCCTTCCCTCCCTCCACCCACCCACCCACCCATCTATCTATCCATTTATTTATCATGTATCTATCATGTCTATCTATTTATCTATACCTATTTATATCTGTCCATCCATCCAGCCATTATGTCTGTCTATCCTATCCTATCCTATCCTATCCTATCCTATCGTCCCTCCACCCACCCACCCACCCATCTATCTATCCATTTATTTATATTTATCTATCATGTCTATTTATCTATCTCTACGTATCTATTTATATCTGTCCATCCAGCCAGCCATTATGTCTGTCTATCCTATCCTATCCTATCCTATCCTATCCTCCCTCCACCCACCCACCCACCCACCCACCCACCTACCTACCTACCTACCTACCTACCTACCTACCTATCTATCTATCTATCTATCTATCTATCTATCTATCTATCTATCCATTTATTTATCGTGTATCTATCATGTCTATTTATCTATCTCTACGTATCTATTTATATCTGTCCATCCAGCCAACCATTATGTCTGTCTATCCTATCCTATCCTCCTTCCCTCCCTCCACCCACCCACCCACCTATCTATCCATTTATCATGTATCTATCATGTCTATCTATTTATCTATACCTATCTATTTATATCTGTCCATCCATCCAGCCATTATGACTGTCTATCCCAGGGGTAGGCAACCTTGGCTCTTTTATGACTCGTGAACTTCAACTCCCAGAATTCCTGAGCCATCATGGCTGGCTTAGGAATTCTGGGAGTTGAAGTCCACGGGTCATAAAAGAGCCAAGGTTGCCTACCCCTAGTCTATCCTATCCTATCCTATCCTATCCTATCCTATCCTATCCTATCCTCCCTCCCTCCCTCCCTCCCTCCACCCACCCACCCACCCACCCACCCACCCACCCACCTATCTATCTATCTATCTATCTATCTATCTATCTATCTATCTATCTATCCATTTATTTATCGTGTATCTATCATGTCTATTTATCTATCTCTACGTATCTATTTATATCTGTCCATCCAGCCAGCCATTATGTCTGTCTATCCTATCCTATCCTATCCTATCCTATCCTCCCTCCCTCCCTCCCTCCACCCACCCACCCACCCACCCACCCACCATCTATCTATCTATCTATCTATCTATCTATCTATCTATCTATCTATCTATCTATCTATCTATCCATTTATTTATCGTTTATCTATCTCTACGTATCTATTTATTCCGTCTATCCTATCCTATCCTATCCTATCCTATCCCTCCTTCCAACCATCTATCTATCTATCACTATCCATTTATCTATTGTGTACCTATCATGTCTATTTATTTATCTCTATGTATCCATTTATATCTGTCCAGCCAGCCAGCCATTATGTCTGTCTACCCTACCTTTCCTTTTCTTTCCTTTCCTTCCTTCCTTCCTCCTTCCTCTTTCTCTATCTATCCATCCTTCCACCCGCCCATCCATCCATCCATCCATCCATCCATCCATCCATCCATTTAATTTATTTATTTACTGATTTATTTCCACATGGGCCTGGCTGAGGAATTCTGGGAGTTGAAGTCCACAAGCCATGAAAGGGCCAGGTTGGAAGGCCCCTCTACCCTAGACAAACGGTTGTCCAATCATTTCTAGAAAGCTTCCAGAGATGGGGTGCCCTGTTCCTGCCTGCTCTTTGGGAAGCCCTTTCTTGGAAAAAACGGTCTGATCTTTCCGAAAACCCAGGGCCCCACTTGAAACAGGAGGAGGAAGAACAGGCGTTTGATGTGTTCGCCCCGTTAAAGTTATTTGTAAAAATAATAAAACCCCTAAAGCAGTGTTTCTCAACCTTGACAATTTTAAGGCATGTGGACTTCAACACCCAGAATTCCACAGCCAGCATTGCTGGCTGTGGAATTCTGGGAGTTGAAGTCCACATGCCTTAAAATTGTCAAGGTTGAGAAACACTGCCCTAAAGGGAGATGAATCGTGGATTGGAATAATGGGGGAGGGGGATCCTGCCTCATGTTGAACCACACCCCCATTTCAGAGCTGCAACACCATGATTGTGCAAGCTTGTGGAACAAGCAAAAATCTTTAATCTGCAAGCCCCCCAGACTCACCCTGTAGGGGCACAGAAATTTAATAAATAAAGAGAGAGAGAGAGAGAGAGAGAGAGAGAGAGAGAGAGAGAGAGAGAGAGAGGATAAATAGATAGACTAGATAGATAGATAGACAGACAGACAGACAGACATGATAGATAGATAAATAGATGATAGATAGATAGATAGATAGATAGATAGATAGATAGATAGATAGATAGATAGACAGACGATATAGATAGACAATGATATAGAGATAGATAGATAGACAGACAGAAGACATGATAGATAGATGATAGATACATAAATAGAGATGATAGATAGATAAACAGACATGATAGATAGATAATTAGATAGATGATAGATGATATAGATAATGATAGAGATAGATAGAAAGATAGATAGATAGATAGACAGACCGATAGACATGATAGACAGACAGACAGATAGACATGATAGATATAGATAGACAGATAGATAGATAGACAGAAGACATGATAGATGATAGATAAATAAATACAGATGATAGATAAATAGATAGATAGATAGATAGATAGATAGATAGATAGATAGATAGATAGATAGATAGATAGATAGATAGATAGATATGGTGAAGAGAGAGAGAGGGGGGGAGAGAGAGAAAGAGAGAGAGAGAGAGAGAGAGAGAGAGAGGGAGAGAGAGAAAGAGAGAGAGAGAGGAAGACCCCCTTTCGTAGCTTTGGACTCCCCCCTCTCTCCCCCCATGTCCCCCAGGCCCACCTACCTTGCCTTTCTTTCTCTAGGACAGACAAGGGGGCCTCTCCGAACAGCCCCCCCCTCCACCCCCCCACTTGCTGGAGAATTGCGAAGAGGAGGCACGGGGATCACACAGTTCCCCTCCTACCTGTTGCAAGGCTGAAGAGGCAGCTCCCAAGGCCAAGGGGGGGGAGACAAATGAAATGGGGCTGGGGGGGCCGGGAGGAAGCTGATGCTGCTGCCGATGCTGCTGCAGATGGTTTCCTTATGGAGCCCACCACTTCCCTGCCGGAGACTCTTTGCAAGAGGCAAAGCTGCCCATTTTAGGATAAGAAGAGAGGCATAAACACAGCAGCGGAGAGAGAGTTGTGTGTGTGCGCGTGCGTGTGTGTGCATGTGTACACACACGTGTGACTCACTCCTTTTCTGCCTAGCCTGACTTTTAAGGAATATACATATCTGCATGCCCAGATACAGACAGACACAGGAGTCCCTGGTGCTCTCTGAGGTGGCTGGTTTCCTTGCAGATGTTTTATGACCCACACTAGAGAACATCATCAGTGCTAGAAGGGTGTGGGGTTTGTGAGAAGGAGGAGGAGGGGAGGGGGGAGGGGGAGGAGGAGGAGGGGGAGGAAGGCTACTGTGGGGTCCCTGGTGCTCTCTGAGCTGGGTGGTTTCCTTGCAGACGTTTCATGACCCAACTAGGGAACATCATCAGTGCTAGAAGGGAGGGGGGTTTGTGGAGTGGAGGAGGAGGAGGAGGAGGAGGGGAGAAAGAGAAGGAGAAAAAGAAAGAGAAGAAAGAAGGAGAAAGGGAACTGTGGGGTCCATGGTGCTCTTTTGAGCTGGGTGGTTTTCTTGCAGACGTTTCATGATCCCACTAGGTAACGTCATCAGCGCTAGAAGGGAGGAGGAGGAGGAGGAGGAAGAGGAGGAGGAGGAGGAGGAGGAGGAGGAGGAGGAGGAGGAGGAGGAGGAAGGCTACTGTGGGGTACTTGGTGCTCTCTGAGCTGGGCGGTTTCCTTGTAGACATTTCATGACCCAACTAGGGAACATCATCAGTGCTAGGAGAGGGAGGAGGAGGAGGAGGAGGAGGAGGAGGAGGAGGAGGAGGAGGAGGAGGAGGAGGAGGAGGAGGAGGGAAAGAGAAGGAGAAAAAGAAAGAGAAGAAAGAAGGAGAAAGGGAACTGTGGGGTCCATGGTGCTCTTTTAAGCTGGGTGGTTTTCTTGCAGACGTTTCATAACCCAACTAGGGAACATCATCAGTGCACTGATGTTGTTACCTAGTTGGGTCATGAAACGTCTGCAAGAAAACCACCCAGCTCAAAAGAGCACCATGGACCCCCTCCCCATTTCCACCCTGAGCTACCAATATTCTCCTTTACAGGCAGACAGACCCCCCCCCCCAAAATAACATACATCCTACCTTTCTCTTCTTGAAATGCTGGCGGGCCAGGAATCCCCGGCAGGCAGCCTGGAACAGGGTGATGCTTCGGCACAGCTGCTTATCCCGCTGCTCCTCCAGCTTCGCCAAAGTCCCTGCCCGAAAGAACACCTGGGGGGGTCAGGGTACGGGAGGGGGGGCAGAGGGAGAGAAGAGGGGGGGGGACGATGCAGAAAAGATGGGGGTCGGTCCCGGCGGTGGGGCAGGCTCCCACCCAAAGAGACGGGGAATCCAACGTCAGAGTTTTCAGCCGGGCAAGGGCCCTCCTTTGGGAGAGGGGGGGAGGCCGGGGACCCCTGGGGACCCCCCATTTGGCCCCCCGAGGGCCTGCATCGTGGACGGGGACCCCAAGGGCTGGATTCAAAGGGCCAGCGCAGGGGGTACAGACTAGTCTGTGTGCGGCAGAGGCTTTCAAGGGGCCAGGGCGAAGTGGGGTGCAGGGCAAAGGGGGGGGACCCTTCTCCTTCACCCCCACGTGCCCGGAGGCCTGGAGGAAGGAGACCCCCCCCTTCTAACCGAGATCCCAGCGATCCCCCTTTCTCAGATGCTCCCCATAATTTGCCGGCTTGAACGAAGCTTCTCTCCTCTCCTCCTGGAGTGAATCAGCCAGCCGCCCCCTCCCTGGGGGGGGTGGAGGGGGGGCTGGGCATCTTCCTGGCAGGCCAGGGGGCTGACTTCACCCCAGCGCTGTGTGTGTGTGTGTTGTGTGTTGTGTGTGTGTGTGTGTGCGTGGGCACGTTTTTGCAGGCAGCGAGATGCAAGGCAGGAGCCAAAAAAAAAAAAACAGGCCTGGCGCCCGTCCACGGAAGCCACCCCCCCCACCACTGCTGCCCGTGGGAACTCCCGTGCCCATCTTCCCCAGCCTGAAGCAGAGCTCCGGGTGGGCGTGGGAGTGGGGGGGGGTCTCGGCCGATTCGCACGTGCCACGTTTCCTTGGGAAAAAACAGGTTGCAAAAAAAATGACGACACTTTTTGCAGAATTGGAGAATCACCTTCTGCAGCACTTTTGGCGAGCGGGCGGGAGAGAAAGAGAGAGGGGGGGTGGTGGCAAAACAAGGCAGTCCTCGATTTACGACCGCCACTGGAACGGTTACAAGTCGTCGCGGTCGTAAATCGAGGCGCCCGTGGAACCGGAAGTTGTTTTTTTTTTTTCTCTCTCTCAGCCAAAACGTTGCGACAGGAATGATGAATTGGGAAGGTCGTGATGTGAACACCCTGCGGTCATTAAGTGGACACTGCGGTCGTTAAGCGAATCTGTTCGTTTGAGTCGGCTTTTTTTTTTTCTTTTTCTTTTTGGCTGGAAACTGGCAGGGAAAAAACACACACACACACACACACCAAAACCTCGGTTGTGTGACCGCCGAGCGACGCAACAGGTCACAAAGACCCCTTTAGCGACCGTTCAAAGTGACGACGGCCCTGGCCAGAGGGACTTTGGACCGTTTTTCACACTTAACGACCGTCGCAGCCATTTCGACGCGATCCAAATTCAGACGCTGGGCAGCCGGTTCATTGTTATGGCGGTCACAGAGTCCCGGTGTGTGTGTGTGGGTGTGGGTGTGTGTCACATGATCCCCTTTTTGTGATCTTCTGACCTGCAAAGTCGAGGGGGGGGGGGTGAGGAGGAAGCCGGATTTGCTTAACGACCATGTGACCCTTAAGAACCTCAAGGATTCTCTTAACGACCGTGGCAAGGTAGGTCGTAAAACGGGGCTAAGCCCTTTTCAACGACTGCCTCGCTTAGCGACGGACGTTCTGGGCTCAATCTTAGTCGTACATTGAGGGCGACTGGCGTTGCGTCTGTCCTGGAGGGGACCCTTCTGCTGCCCCCCACCCACCCACCCACCCCAGACACCCCCCCACCCCAGACGCCCCCTGGTGGCCTTCTCCATCATCTCACCCGGCTCACACCCATCTGGAAGCAATTCTGCTCCAATTCCAGCGACTGCAGCAGCTCTTCCACAGCCTTGGGGGGGGGGAGAAAGGGGGGGGGAGAAAGCAGAAGAGAGGAGGGGGCTTCAGAGACCATGCTTCCCCCCCCCCCACCTCAAAAGCTCCAGCCTCCTCCTCCCGTCCACTCTGCCCCCTCGTGAGCGCAGCTATCCCAGGTCTTGGGGTCTGGAAGTGCAGGGAGGCAGACCCCAGACCCATCCTCCCCCCCCTCCCCTGGCCCTGGCAGAGAGACAGAAGCCCCCCTCCCCAATTCCAGCCTGCCTACCCTCCTCTCGTCCGTGACGATGTAATGGCGCCCGTGCTTCTTGCTCAAGTGGGGAGCCAGCACCTCGAACCGGCGGCGGAATTCGGCAAAGACCATGTGGTCAGGGTAACCTGGGGAGGGGGAGAGAGAGAGGAGGAGAAGAAGGGGGGACGTTAGAAGGGGAGGGGGCTCAACTGCCAGCCTGGACACAAAACATGGGAGGGGTCCCACCAGGCTTTTCGGCCTGAAGGGAGTCAAGCTCTTCTCCCAAGCCCCTGAAAGGCAGGACAGGAAGCGACAGATGGAAACTCATCCAGGAGAGAAACAACCTGGAACTAAGGAGGAAATTTCCTGACAGGGAGGACAATTAACCAGTGGAACTGCTTGCCACCAGAGGTTGTGGGTGCTCCATCACCGGAGGTTTTTTAAGAGGAGATTGGACCACCATTTGTCTGGAATGGTCTCCTCTAGGGTCTCCGGCTTGAGCAGGGGGTTGGACTAGATGACCTCCAAGGTCCCTTCCGACTGGGCTATTCTGTGATTCTGTCAGGGTCTCCTGCCCGAGCAGGGGGCTGGACTAGCAGACCTCCAAGGGCCCTTCCAACTCTGTGATTCTGTTCACAACCTGGAATTAAGGAGAAACTTCCTGACAGTGAGGACAATGAACCAGTGGAACTGCTTGCCACCAGAAATTGTGGGGGCTCCATCACTGGAGGTTTTTAAGTGGAGATTGGACAGCCATTTGTCTGAGATGGTATATGGTTTCCTGCCTGAGCAGGAGGTTGGGCTAGATGACCTCCAAGACCCCTTCTAACTCTGTTATTGTGTTATATTCTGTTAAGGCTAAAAAAAAAAAAACGAAGAACGGTGGCAGGAATTGGGGATGTCTAATTTAATGAAGAGAAGGACAAGGGGGGACATGATGGCAGCTTTCCAATATTTGGGGGGCTGCCCCAAAGAAGAGGGGGGGGTCCATTTATTCTCCAAGGCCCCTGAAGGCAGGACAAGAAGCAACAGGTGGAAACTCATCAAGGAGAGAAGCAACCTGGAACTAAGGGGAAACTTCCTGACAGTGAGAACAATTAATCGGTGGAACTCCTTGCCACCAGAAGTTGTGGGCGCTCCATCAGTGGAGGTTTTTAAGAAGAGACTGGACAGCCACCCTGTCTGGAGTGGTAGAGGGTCTCCTGCTTGAGCAGGGGGCTGGACTAGAAGACCTCCAGGGTCCCTTCCAACTTTCTTCTGGTTGCCTAAGTGCCTGAATTTCGACCACGTGATTGCAGGGATGCTCTGATGGCCGTAACTGTGAGGACGGGTGCTAAGTCCTCAGTCACTCCTTCAGGGCCGCTGTAAGTTTGAACCGTCGCTAAACAAACGGTCGCTAAGTCGAGGACTGTGAGCGTCCGTCCTCAGGCGAACATCCAGAAGGGTCTCTTCAGCTTTAGCGGACCCCCCCGCCTCCCCCCACAAATCCAGGGCCAGCAGCAACTGTCCCCAAAGACCCTTTTGTTCACTTTTTTGGGGAAAAAAAATCATTATCGAAATGTAAAATACCCAAAAACAGGAAAAAAATTTCCTTTGGCACTGAAGAATGGCAGAGCCTCCCAGAGTGGGGAGGGGGGGGGACTGGCACATGCTTATGCACACACACACACACACACAGCCCGCCTGGCGGGTCCCGAGTTCCAAATAAGGCTGCAAGGAGAGAGGAGGAAGCAGAGGTGGCCAAGATCTGCGGGCAGCTAGCTGTTTCTGGCCCCCACGGCCTGCGAGCGGAGGGTGGTCCGGGGTGCTTTGGGCCAGGGGGGGGGGGGGCGTGGAAGCTGCCAGCTGAGCAGGGGGCTCTGCCCCCCCCACACGTGGGGACTCTGGGCGCCCTCCGGCCCTGGCGATCCCGGAAAGAGGGGGGGGTCACCCCCCCCCCCCGGGATCTGCCTGCCTGCCTGCCTGCATGGTCTGGAGTTTAAACTCGGCCTCAGCTGGTCAAAGAGTTTTGCTTCTTCCAGGCAGAAAGAGCAAAGGCAGAACTTTTCCCACGTGTGTGTGTGTGTGTGTGTGTGTGTGTGTGTGTGTGTGTTTCTGTGCACATTCAGAGGCACAGATGGCCTGTGTGTGTGTGTGTGTGTGTGTGTGAAAGAGAGAGAGAGAGGGACAGAGAATGTGTGTGTGTATTTCTGTGCATGCCCAGAAGCACATAAGTGGCCTTATTGTGTGTGTGTGTGTGTGTGCGCGCGCGCGCGCGTGCGTGTGAGAAAAGAGAGAGAGAGAGAGAGAGAGAGTATGTGTGTTTCTGTACATGTTCAGAGGCATAGAAGTGGCCTTATCGTGTGTGCTTGTCTGTGTGTGTGTGTGTGTTTCTTTGTGCATGCTCAGAGGCACAGAAGAAGCAGCCTTATTTTGTTTGTTTGTGTGTGTGTGTGTGTGAGAGAGAGAGAGATTGTGTGTGTGTGTATTTCTGTGCATGCCCAGAGGCACAGAAGAAGCTGCCTTATTTGTGTGTGTGTGTGTAAGAGAGAGAGAATGTGTGTGTTTCAAGAAGCAGCCTTATCGTCTGTGTGTGTGTGTGTGTGTGTGTGAATGTGTGTGTATGTGTAAGTATATGTGTGTATATATGTTTCTGTACATGTTCAGAGGCATAGAAGAAGCGGCCTTATTGTGTGTGTGTATGTGTGTGTGTGTGTGTGTGGTCTTTCTTTGTGCATGCTGAGGCACAGAAGAAGCACCCTTATTTGTGTGTGTGTGTGTGTGTGTGGAGAGAGAGAGAATGTGTGTTTCTGTGCTGCAGAGGCACAGCAGAAGCTGCCTTATTTGTGTGTGTGTGTGTGAGATAGAGGAGAGAAGGTGTGTATTTTTCAAGCAGCCTTTCATCTGTGTGGTGTGGTGTTGTCGTGTGTGTGTGTAAGTATATGTGTGTATGTATGTTTCGTTTGTACATGTTCAGAGGCAAGAAGAAGCGGCCTTATCGCGTGTATGGTAGGTGTGTGTGCGTGTGTGTGTGTGTGTGTGTGTTTCATTTGTGCAGCTACAGGAGTACAGGGAAGAGGTGGCCTTATCAAACACCAGCTCCCTGACAGGGGGGGGACTCCTGCAGCCCCCACCCTCACTCTCAAAAGATGCCCCCCCCCCGACGGGAGTCCTTTGCCTTACAACCCTCACGGCCTGCCCAGGAAATGGGGGTGGGGGGCAGGGGGGGTGTCTTAAAGGATCCATAGTGTAGTGAGTGGGACAAGCCCCCCTGCCGTGGGCGGGAGGGGCCAAGGCAAGGAGGGGCAGAATTGGGGGGCAGACACGAAAATGCCCCTGCTGAAGTTCCTTTGTACGCCCCACAACCCCTCTGAACTCAAAGTCGAACAAATGCAATTATAAAGGGGCCTTTTTTCCCCACAAAAGAGCCCCCGCCGCCCCGTTCCCCAATCCCAGGCAGTCCTTGACTTACGACCGTTGCTTAGCGACCATCAGAGTGTTATAAGCTCCAGAAAAAAAGTGACTTTACGACCCTTTTTCACACTTGAACGACCGTTTGAGGCATCCCACAGGGTCACGTGATCAAAAAGTACGACGCCGGCAACGGATAGTAGTTAAGACGGTTGCACAGCAAGTTCCGGATTGTGTGTGTGTCACTTGTATCCCTTTGCAAACTTCTGATGAGGCAAAGTCGATAGGGGGTGAGCCCGAATTCACGCTGAACGACCGTGTGACTAACTTAACGGGACTGTGTAATTCCACGTAAGGACCGAGGGGCAAGAAAGGTCCTAAAACGGGGCAAAGCTCCTTCACCGCTGTCGCGCTTGTTAGCGAGGGCCACTTTCAGCTCAATTGTGTCGTTGGAAGTCAAGGGACTGCCTGTGGCAGTTACAATAGTTACAGCGTCCGTGGGGGGGGGGAATCAACAGGGTCAGTCTTGATGACCTCACCGGATGGTTTTTGACAAACAAAAATCAATAGGGAATCCCCGCAGGGAAGATCCCAAGCCAAGTCCACGTGATGCTTTGTTTAACAACCGGGATGATTCAAATTAATGACCATGGGAATGGAAAGTCATGAAATCTGGTGTGGTCGTGTGTTGCCTCACTTAACGACCACATGGCTTAATGATGGATTTCCCAGGGCAAGGCCTGCCTGTATTACTTCAGGAAGGACTGAATACAAGCAGTCCTCAATTTACAACAGTTCATTTAGTGACCGTTCAGACTGACAGCAGCACCCAAAAAAGTGGCTTTATGACCCCTTTTCACACTTATAATAATAATAATAATAATAAAGTTGGAAGGGACCTTGGAGGTCATCTAGTCCAAACCCCTGCTCAGGCAGGAAACCCTACACCATTTCGGTATAAGGTTGCAACCATTGCGGCATCCCCGTGGCCACATGATCCAAATTCAGACGCTGAGCGACTGACTCACATTTATGACGGTCGCAGCGTCCCCAGGGGTCACGTGATCCCCTTTTGCGACCTTCTGACAGTGAGAACAATTCACCAGTGGAACTCCTTGCCTCCAGAGGTTGTGGGTGCTCCATCACTGCAGGTTTTCAAAAAGAGACTGGACAAACATTTGTCTGAAATGGTGTAGGGTTTCCTGCCTGAGCAGCGGGTTGGACTAGATGACCTCCAAGGTCCCTTCCAACTTTATCATCATCATCATCATCATCATCATCATCATTATTATAAAGCCGATGGGGGAAAGCCGGACTTACTTAACGATGGGTTACTAACTGAACAACTGCAATGATTTACTTAACAACGTTGGCAAGAAAGGTCATAAAACGGGGCTAAACTAAACAAATGACTCCCTTAGCAAACAGACCTCTCGGCCGCAATTATCGTCGTAAGTCGAGGACCGCGTGGCATACGTTAAAGGCCTGCTGAATTTTCTCTGGATCCGAGAGGGGAAAAAAAAATACGTTCTATTTTCGTTCGCTAATTAGAGATTCGTTCTATTTGTGATTGTCTGATTGCTGTTGTGTCGCTTTCCCCACTGGCTTTTATCTATTTTGCGGCACTTCTGTTTAACCCCAAAAAACACATTTTTGTCAAAAAAAAAAGAAAAAGAAAGAGAGGGACACAACGAAAGGAATCTGTTGCCAAAGCCGTCTCGAATGCAGTTTGGGAGAAAGCCGATTAAAGGGATAATTTTTTTTTTTTAGAATAAATTAGAATAACAGAGTCGGAAAGGACCTTGAAGGTCATCTAGTCCAACCCAAGCAAGAGACCCTACACCGGAGTCCCCCAACCTGCGCTCCGCAGCCCGCTACTGGGCTGTAGCTTACTGGCCACCGGGCCACGCACACTCACCCCCACTCATGCTAGCGCTGCCGCTATGCAAATGGGGTGCTGCGTGCAAAAACAGGGCACCGCTGCTATGCAAACAGGCGCATGGCGCGAAAACTGGACGGCGCACAGCGAGGAAATAGGCGAAAACCAGACGTCGGGCAGCACGAAAATGGGAGAAAACCGGGCGGCACGCAGCGCAAAATCGGGGGCAAACCAGGCAGCGCACGACACAAAACTGGGAGAAGCAACCTGGAATTAAAGGAGAAACTTCCTAACCGTGAGGACAATCAGCCAGTGGAACAACCTGCCACCAGGAGTTATGGGCACTCCATCACTGGAGGCTTTAAAGAAGAGACTGGACAGCCACCGGTCTGAAATGGTATGGGTTCTCCTGCTTGAGCGGGGGGTTGGACTAGATGACCTCCAGGGTCCCTTCAGCTCTATTAATTCTAATTCTGATTCTGATTTTGATTCTGATTGATTCTAATTCTAAGAGACTGGACAGCCACTTGTCCGAAATGGTGTAGGGTTTCCTGCCTGAGCAGGGGGTTGGACTAGATGACCTCCAAGGTCCATTCCAACTTTTATTATTATTATTGATCATCACACAGTCAGCCAGATGTTCAGACTGGATTTGGCATTTTGTCTACCTATCGAGTCCTTACCCAGGACCTGGGATAGGCAGATGTGGATGTTTGATGGTATTACAGATATCGTCGCAGGATGGAAGCAGTTCCTAATAAGGCTGCCTTTTGCAAGTGACTAATAGCGAATTTGTCAATGCCAATGGTGTTCAAGTGGTGCTCCAGCTGTTTTGGGATTGCACTCAAGGCGCCTATGACTATTGGTACTACCCTTGCTTGCTTTTGCCACAATCTTTCTATTTCTATTTGTAGAAATTTGTTATCTTCTCCAGTTCTTTCTCGTCTATTCTGCTGTCTCCAGGCACTGCCACGTCTACTATCCAGACTTTTTTGTCTTTCTTCTTCTTCTTCTTCTTCTTCTTCTTCTTCTTCTTCTTCTTCTTCTTCTTCTTCTTCTTCTTCTTATTATTATTATTATTATTATTATTATTATTATTATTATTATTATTATTAATTATTATTATTATTATTATTATGGATCATCGCACAGTCAGACAGATGTTCAGACTGGATTTGGCATTTTGTCTACCTATCGAGTCCTTACCCAGGACCTGGGATAGGCAGATGTGGATGTTTGATGGTATTACAGGTGTCGTCGCAGGATGGAAGCAGTTCCTAGTAAGGCCGCCTTTTGCAACTGACTAATAGCGAATTTGTCAATGCCAATGGTATTCAAGTGGTGCTCCAGTTGTTTTGGGATTGCACCCAAGGCGCCTATTACTATTGGTACTACCCTTGCTTGCTTTTGCCACAGTCTTTCTATTTCTATTTGTAGGTCTTTGTATTTTGTTATCTTCTCCAGTTCTTTCTCTTCTATTCTGCTGTCTCAAGACACTGCCACATCCCCTATCCAGACTTTTTTGTATTTCTTATCGACAATTTTTAAGTCTGGGGTGTTATGTTGCAGGTGCTTGTCTGTTTGAATTCTGAAGTCCCAGAGCAGTTTAATTTTATCATTTTCTATGACTTTCTCTATTTTATGATCCCACCAGTTTTTGCTTACAGGCAAGTGATATTTTTTTCAGATCTTCCAATGCACCATTGTTGCTACTTTGTCATGCCGCTGCTTGTAATCAGTTTGTGCAATCTTCTTGCAACAGCTTACCAAGTGGTCCACTGTTTCTTCAGCTTCTTTGCATAGGCGGCACTTACTGTCTGTTGCTTTCTTCTCAATTTTGACTTTATATGCATTTGTCCTTAAGGCTTGGTCTTGTGCAGCCAGAATTAGTCCCTCGGTCTCTTTCTTCAATTTCCCTGCTCTTAGCCATTGCCAGGTTTTATTATTATCTGCTTTCCCAGCTATTTTTTTTTCATGTATTGGCCATGTAGTGCTTTGTCTTCCCATGCCTCTATTCTGTTCTTCATTTGGTCTTTCTTGTAGGCCAGTTTGGTCTCTCCAGTAGTTAGTTAGTTGTTGTTGTTGTTGTTGTTGTTGTTATTATTATTATTATTATTATTATTATTATTTCTATTATTATTATTATTTCTAATTATTTCTAATTATTATTATTATTTCTAATTCTAATTCCAATTCCAGTTCCAATTAATTCTAATAATTCTAATTCGAATTATTCTGATCCTGATTCTGTGGTTGTACCTCCAGGTCCACCTGTATTTAAAGTGCATTTTTTTTTCAAGAGACTGGCAGTAGACAAACCCTGCACCTCGAAGAGACACACAAACACACACACAGACAAACACACACACACACACACGGTACAACTTGTGTGTGTCTCCAAGGGACGTCTGACGAAGCAACGCCGAGTGTGTCCAGCCACTGTTAAGCTAAGGGCTCAACGAATCTCGAATGCGCCCCTCGCCTGCCCATCTTCCTGCAGCTGCAGCGACACCCCCCCCCAGGGATTCTCCTATCGATTGCAATTAAAATTGATGGCCAAAGATAGCTGTGTTGATTCTTCGGGTCTTAATTAATCATCACCACATCCACCAGACGGCCTCCGGCTTCTTCCCTGCCTGCCGAGCCATTGATCCCGACTGCAGCGGGGGGAAAAAACCACAACAACAACACCGAATTCGCTGCACGCCACAAGCCGCTCGGCTCTCGAGTTCACACACACCTTACACTGCGGTGCTTCACAAAAGGGAGAGAAAGGGGGAGACTCGGGTGGGGTGGGGGTCTTTTCCGAGCAGGAGAGGCAGAAGGGAAGGAGAACGGAGGGTCCTCGACTCACAGACACAACCGGGATCACAATTTCCAGGGCTGAGCAACACAGCTGTTCAGTGAGCTGTATGTGTGTGTGTCTCTCTCTCTCTTTTTTTCCCCCATGGTCATTAAGTGAATCGCTGTAGCTGTTAAGGCAGTGGTTCTCAACCTTTTTAATGCCGCGACCCCCAACAGGTCGTAAGTCGAGGACTACTCAACCGATCGTAAGTCGAGGACTACTCAACGGGTGCAGCCCCGTTTGCAGAATGGGACTTTTGGCGGGCTCAGCAGGGCAGAGACAGCCTGGACAATTCCTATTGGCTTTGGAAAGCCAATAGAATTAGACTCTATTCAAGAGAGTCTGTTCTATTGGCTTTCAAAAGCCAATAGAATAAAAGGGAGTAGCACAGCTAAGGAAAAGGGGGGGAAAAATGGCGGACTGCGTTGTTTGGCGACCCCCGTGAAATGGTCGCTCGACCCCAAATGGGGTCCCGACCCCACAGGTTGAGAACCACTGTGTTAAGGGAATCCTGCGGTCATTAAGCGAATCTAGCTTCCTCCCCGCCTCTCCCCCCCATCGATTTTGCTTGAGAAAAGCCAGTTGAGAAAATTACAAATAACAGAAGAGAATAACAGAAATGGAAGGGACCTTGGAGGTCATCTAGTCTGCTCAGGCAGGAAATCCTATCCCATTCCAGACAAATGGTTGGAAACTGACCAAAGAGAGAAGCAACCTGGAATTAAGGAGAAACGGTGAGGACAATTAACCAGTGGAACAGCTTGCCACCAGAAATTGTGGGCGCTCCATCCCTGGAGGTTTTTAAGAAGAGATTAGCCCAGCAGTTCTCAACCTGTGGGTCGGGACCCCATTTGGGGTCGAACGACCATTTCACGGGGGTCGCCAAACAACACAGTCCGCCATTTTTCCCCCCTTTTCCTTAGCTGTGCTCCTCCCTTTTATTCTATTGGCTTTTGAAAGCCAATAGAATACACTCTCTTGAATAGAGTCCAATTCTATTGGCTTTCAAAAGCCAATAGGAATTGTCCAGGCTGTCTCTGCCCTGCTGAGCCCGCCAAAAGTCCCATTCGGCAAACGGTGCTGCACCCGTTGAGTAGTCCTCGACTTACGATCGGTTGAGTAGTCCTCGACTTACGACCGGTTGGGGGGGGTCGCGGCATTAAAAAGGTTGAGAACCACTGGACTAGACAGACACTTGTCTGAGATGGTATAGGTCAGTGGTTCTCAACCTTTCTAATGCCGCGACCCCATAATACAGTTCCCCATGTTGTGGTGACCCCCAACCACTTATACATAACCGGGTGCCAGGGGCGCGGCCAAAGAAAAGGGGAAAAAATGGCGGACAGCCTTGTTTGGCGACCCCCGTGAAATGGTCGTTCGACCCCAAATGGGGTCCCGACCCACAGGTGGAGAACCACTGGTATAGGTTCTCCTGCATGAGCAGGGGGCTGGACTAGAAGACCTCCACGGCCCCTTCCAGCACTATCCTATTCTAAAGGGCGGATTCCACGGACCCATTACTAGTCCTGTTCTCTGCCTTCAGCTTTCTACGTCCCTCTCTGACGAGCCAAGTCTGTCTCTCATCCCGTTTCCCCTCCCTCTCCGGACCCCTGCCCACGGAGTCGGAGGGCAAACGGACCCACCTTGGCGGTACATCCGGAGGGCATCCAGCAGACGGCAGCCCCGGATCTGGGCCCTCAGCAGGGGCACCTCCAGCTGCATCAGGCCGGCTTCACAGTGTTCGCCGTGGAGGTCCGGCTCGCTGCTGCTCACCCGCCGGGCGTAGGGACCCTTGGCGTCGCCTCGCCAGGCGCTGGCCTTGGGTAGGAAGCAGTGGACGAAATGCAGCTTGGACTTCTTCAGGGTGTCAATCAGGGCATCCTGGATGGGGGGGGGGCAGAAGACCAGGGTCAAGAGAGGCTGGCCATCTCCGATGGGCTGCTGACCGTTCGCCTTGTCCAACGGTGTCCCCCTCCTCACCGGCCAGCAAGGCCGTCTTGGGCCCCCGAGTGGGGGGTTTCGTTCATTTCTCACCACCACCACCCCCAAAATTGTAACCCTCCTTGTCTCTTTTCCAAGTTTATATGCTGGTTTTATGCTGGACTAATGGTTTAATGGAGACTGGTCTGGGTCTAAGATGGGGGGGCGTTTGTTCACTTCCCAGAATTCCCCAGCCAGAGCAGGTGGGCTTTGATGGCCACAATCCCCCAGCCAGCATATATTAAAATGAGTGGATTTCAACTCCCAGAATTCCTCAGCCAGCCTCTAGGGAATTCTGGGAGTTGAAGTCCTCCCCTCTTAAAGCAGGCTGGCTGGGGGATTCTGGGAGTTGAAGTTCACCCCTCTTAAAGCATGCTGGCTGGGGGATTCTGGGAGTGGAAGCCCACCCCCCTTAAAGCAGGCTGGCTGGAGAATTCTGGGAGTGGAAGCCCACCCCTCTTAAAACAGGCTGGCTGGGGGATTCTGGGAGTGGAAGCCCACCCCTCTTAAAGCAGGCTGGCTGGGGGATTCTGGGAGTGGAAGCCCACCCCTCTTAAAGTTCCCACTCCCACAAAAGAATCCCCCGTTCCTCTGGGCCCAGAATCACCCGGAGACTCACCACTTGCAGTTTGATTTGGATGCAGACGGACCTCTTCTTCACCCCAGCCACCCCGGTGGTGAAGGTCTTGCGCATGCTGGTGGCCCTGCGCAGGGCCAGCTGGGACCCCCCCTCTAAGCCCGCGATGGAGCCCGAGAGCACCGTGTTGGCCCCGGCTCGTCCCGCGAAGAGGCTGCTGATGATCTTCCTGGGGGGGGGGGGAGGAAGGAAGGGGAAAGAGAGGAGAAAGAGCTGTCCAGGTGCCTTCCTTCATCCGGAGACGAAGAACAGAACGGCAAGAGCCGGGAGGGACCTGGGAGGTCATCTAGCCCAACCCCCTGTTGAAGCAGGAGACCGGCCTATGCCGTTTCAGACAAGTGGCTGTCCAGTCTCTTCTGGAGTTTCAGAGGAAGGGTCCTCCCGCCCGACAGAGGTCGGAGCCTCCCCGGGGCAGGCCGAGGGGGTTTCCCAGCCCCCCACCCACCCGCCCAAGACCTTCAGGCCTTACTTCTGGGACTCCTGGAGGAGGAGCAGGCTGTTTTGAGAACCGGGATTCTGCCGGACGTAGCTCAGCCAGCCGGTGGTGTCGTACTCCACCCAGTTGGTCCCGTAGCTGTGTCCCAGGAAGAAATGCCGGGGTTTATTGCTGCGGAGAAGCGGGTTGGGACCTGCGGAAGATGTAAGAGAGAGGAAGACTCAGGACCCCAGGCCCCCTCCCCAGAGCACTGCCTTCGGGGCCCCCAGGAGAGGGGTCCCAGGGAGCCCCAGTCGGTCTCCAGGCAGCGTTAAATGGAGGAAGGAGCCCCCCTAATTAGAAAGACCCTTTCGGTCTTTCCGTCTTTCCACAAATCGCTGATCAAGGATTGAAGTGAAAAGTCTGGGTGAGGAGGGGAGGGGAGAGGAGGGGAGGGGAGAAGAGGAGGAGGGAGAGGAGGAGGAAGGGAAGGGAGGGAGTAGAAGAGAAAAAAGAAAAAGAGACAGAAAGAATGAAAGGGGAGAAAAAGGAGTTGAAGAGAAAGGAGAAAGAGTAGAAGAAAAAGAGTTGAGTGAGTGAGTGAGAAAGAAAGAGAAGGAAGGAAGGAAGGAAGGAAGGAAGGAAGGAAGGAAGGAAGGAAAGAAAGAAAGAAAGAAAGAAAGAAAGAAAGAAAGAAAGAAAGAAAGAAAGAGGGAAGCAGGGAGGGATGAAGGAAGGAAAGAAGGAAGGGAGGGAGGGAGAAAGAGAAGGAAGGAAGGGAGGGACGGAAGGAAGGAAAGAAGGGAGGGAGGAAGGGAAGAAGGGAAGGAAGGAGGGAAGGAAAGAAGGGAGGGAGGGAGGAAGGAAGGGAGGAAGAAAGAAAGGAAAGAAGGGAAGGAAGGAAGGAAAGAAGGGAGGGAAGGAAGGAAGGAAAGAAAGGAAGGAAGAAAGGGAGGGAGGGAGGGAAGGAAGGAAGGAAAGAAGGGAAGGAAGGAAGGAAGGAAAGAAGGAAGGGAAGAAAGGAGGGAAGGAAAGAAGGGAGGGAGGGAAGGAAAGAAGGGAGGGAGGGAGGAAGGAAGGGAGGAAGAAAGAAAGGAAAGAAGGGAAGGAAGGAAGGAGGGAAGGAAAGAAGGGAGGAAGGAAGGAAGGGAAGGAAGTCCCCAAGGTGGTTGTAAATCGAGGACTTTGGCTCCCCTTGAGAGACGGTTTCTGCTCCCAGGAGGGAAGCAGAGGTGTGAAACCGGAGATCCCCCTCCCACTGGATTAAGTGTGACCCTAGATCAGGGGTCTTCCAGCTTGGCCCTTTGACGACTGGTGGACTTTAACTCCCAGAATTCCTCATCCAGGCACGCTGGCTGAGGAATTCTGGGAGTCGAAGTCCACAAGCAGGGGTCTTCCAGCTTGGCCCTTTGATGACTTGTGGACTTCAACTCCCAGAATTCTGGGAATTGAAGTCCACCACTCATCAAAGGGCCCAGTTGGAAGACCCCTGCTATAGACTTTAAGAGGAATGGACTTCGACTCCCAGAATTCCTTAGTCAGCGTGCCTGGCTGAGGAATTCTGGGAGTCGAAGTCCACCAGTCATCAAAGGGAGAAGTTGGAAGAGCCCTGCCCTCAATTATCCCGATCCAACCGCCCTCCTTGGCCCGGGTACCTTTCTTGTCTCCGTCCTGTGGGCCGTAGTGGGTGAAGAGGCGCTCCAGAAGACCCTCCTCGCTGCCCCCCGGCTGAAGGGACTCCTCCTCCAGCAGCCACAGCAGGCCGCGGGCTTCGTCGGTCCGGGCCAGGGTGCGGACCTGCAGGGAGGCACCCCAAAAGGTGAGAGGGTGGACGTCGGGGGAGTCTCCAAGGAGCTTTTTCCAAAAGGCAAGTGGAGTTCCTTCTTTTTTTTTTTATTCCTTGAAAACATGTCGCTCCTGATCCAAGAAGCTTCTTCGTTGACGGTCAGAGAGAGAGAGAAAGAGAGACAGAGAAAAAGAAAGAAAGAAAAAAGAGGGAGGGAAGGAAGGAGGGAGGGAAGGATGGAAAAGAAAGGAAGAGGAGAGAGAGGGGGAAGGAAGGGAGGGAGGGAGGGAGGGAGGGAGGGGAAGGAAGGAAGGAAGGATGAAAGAAAGAGGATGGAGGAAGGGAGGAAGGAGGAAGGAAGGAAGAAAGAGGAAGGAGAGAGAAGGAAGGGAAGGAAAGAATGAAGAAAGGAGGAAGGGGAAGGAAGGAGGGAGGGAAGAGAATGAAGGAAGGAAGGAAGGAAGGGAAGAACAAAAGAAAGATGGAGGGAGGGAGGAGGGGGAAGAAAGTAAGGAAGGGGAAGAAGGGAGGGAGGGAAGGAAGGAAGAGGGAGGAGAAAAGGAAGGAAGGAAGGAAAAGAAGGAAAGGAAGGAAGGAAGGAAGGAAGGAAGGAAGGAAGGAAGGAAGGAAGGAAGGAAGGAAGGAAGGAAGGGAAGGAAATGAAGGAAGGAAGAGAGAGGAAGGAAGGAAAGGAAGGAAGAGAATGAAGGAAGGAAGGAAGGAGGGAAGGAAGGAAGGAAGAGGGAGGAAAGGAAGGAAGGAAGGAAGGAAAGGAAGGAAAGAAGGAAGAGAGAGGAAGGAAGGAAAGGAAGGAAGGAAGGTAGGAAGGAAAGAAAGAAAGGAAGAGAATGAATGAATGGAAGGAAGGAAGGGAAGGAAGGAGGAAGGAAAGGAAGGAAGGAAGGAAGGAAAGGAAGGAAATGAAGGAAGGAAGAGAGAGGAAGGAAGGAAAGGAAGGAAGAGAATGAAGGAAGGAAGGAAGGAGGGAAGGAAGGAAGGAAGAGGGAGGAAAGGAAGGAAGGAAGGAAGGAAAGGAAGGAAAGAAGGAAGAGAGAGGAAGGAAGGAAAGGAAGGAAGGAAGGTAGGAAGGAAAGAAAGAAAGGAAGAGAATGAATGAATGGAAGGAAGGAAGGGAAGGAAGGAGGAAGGAAAGGAAGGAAGGAAGGAAGGAAGGAAGGAAGGAAGGAAGGAAGGAAGGAAGGAAGGAAGGAAGGAAAGGAAGGAAAGGAAGGAACCCTGAGGAACTGGAAGAAGCTTCTTGGATGAGAAGCAAAGTGTTTTCAAAGGAAAAAGAGCTCCCTTTGGGAAAAGGGGCTGCCATGTCTGGATGACTGGGAACTCCACAGAAAGTCAGGGATGGAAGCCAGAGGCTGGGATTTGGGGGGGGGGGGCTGGAAAAGCAGAGGGCCGCAAAGGCTCGGCTCTCCCTCCCCCCCTGGCAAGGCCCAGCCCCAAAGCCAGGCCGTGGGGGCACGGCGAGGCAAGCGGAGGCACAAACAGCTTCGTTAGGCTCCAGTGTGGAAACACAACTTCCCCGCCAAAGATCAATACTTCATAAACCAGGTTAGGGAGAGAAACAGGCATCGCTGTCTGGTAACAGGGACCGGCGGGAGGCTTTGGCTGCGCGGAAATTCAATCGGGAGGCTTAAGCATCGAAATTACTCCCAGCAACGCAGCAGGGAGCAATTGAAGAAACAGCTGCACTCAACACAAACACACACAAGCACACACACCAGGCACAGGCAGGGAGGCACACACAAACACACAGGCGTCCCCTTGCTTCTGCACTGCAGGCAGAGTTTGGCAGCCAATAACAGCGAGGGGGCTCCAAGGGCTTCCCAGAATCCCCCAGCCAGCAAGCTTTAAGAGGGGTGGGCTTCGAGGACTCCCTCTAATAACAGTTGCAGTGATTCACTTAACAACAGTGGCAAGAACGGTCGAAAAGTGGGGCAAAACTCACTTAGCAACTGTCCCACTGAATAAGCTGGGAACTCCCTCCTGGTGCAATGCAGGGCAGGAAGGTGGGGGGGGGGACAGAAGACGGCAGAGAGGCGGGAGGACTTGAACCCAGGTCCCGTGCCACTTACCAGCGCCTGGTGGGACGCTTCGTCCACTGTGGCCACAGAGCCCGAGACGCTGGGCTCCAGGGCATCTAAGGAAAAGTCTAGGTTCTCCTAGAGAGGAGGAGGGACAGAGGAGCTTGGTTAGTGTCCAGTGGCGACAGGTTCCACAGGTCAAGGCACCCGGGGGGGGGAGACCTCAGTGCGTTAGTCAGAGAGTCCACAAGCAACACCCCCACAGCCCCCACCCACCTATAACATCAAAGGAAATAAAATTCGGGTGAGGGGTGTGTGAAAGAGAGAATTCCCCACCGGGAGAAAAAGGGGCGGTGCAGGAAGTGGAGGGTCTAGGTGCCTGCTGGAGGGCCCAATCTGTAGGGAAGGGCTCTCCAAGCTTGGCCACTTGAAGACGCGTGGACTTCAACTCCCAGAATCCCCCAGCTTAGGCCAATCTCTTAATCTCCCCAAAACTTTTAAATCATCAATCCATCCATCTAGAAGGGACCCTGAAGGTCCTCTAGTCCAACCCCCTCCAGGAGACCCTATGCTACGTCAGACCAGAGGCTGTCCAGTCTGTTTTTAAAAGGCCTCCAGGGATGGAGCACCCACAACTTCTGGAGGGAAGCTGTTCCACCGGTTAATTGTTAACAACAACAACAACAATAATAATAATAATCAGAATACAGCTGGGAGGGACCTTGGAGGTCATCTAGTCCAGCCCCCTGCTGAAGCAGGAGTTCCTATACCAGTGATGGCGAACATTTTAGAGATCAGGTGCCCAAACCGCAACCCAAAACCCACTTATTTATCGCAAAGGGCCAGGGGCCCATCAGCATTGTGGTGCCCTGGGGGGGGCGGGGGGTGCAGCCCATTAGGTGGGCGTGGCTGCAGTGGTCACAGCTGACGGGGTGGGCATGGCTGAGGCCAGGGCGGTGGGTGCCAGTCCCTTGCCATCCCCAGGGCATCCCCAGGGAGGCCGATGCCTCTTGCTCGCTCACTTCCTGCCCCGTTGCTTCCAAACGCCACGTGCTCACTACTCTGGCGAACTCTGCTGGGGCAACAGTGCGCCTGCCCACAGAGAGGGCTCTGAGTGCCGCCTCTGGCACGCGGGCCATAGGTTTGCCACCACTGACCTAGAACTAAGGAGAAACGTCCTGACAGTGAGAACAATTAACCAGTGGAACTCCTTGCCTCCAGAAGCGGTGAATGCTCCAACACTGGAAGTTTTTAAGAAGAGCCTGGACAGCCGTTTGTCAGGGGCAGGCAACCTGGACTCTTTTATGACTGTTGGACTTCAACTCCCAGAATTCCTGAGCCGGCATGGGGGAACTATGGCTCCCTTCGTGACTTATGGACTTCAACTCCCAGAATTCCTGAGCCAGCATGGGGGAACTATGGCTCCCTTCGTGACTTATGGACTTCAACTCCCAGAATTCCTGAGCCGGCATGGGGGAACTATGGCCCCCTTCATGACTGGTGGACTTCAACTCCCAGAATTCCTGAGTCGGCATGGGGGAACTATGGCTCCCTTCGTGACTTATGGACTTCAACTCCCAGAATTCCTGAGCCAGCCACGCTGAGGGAAAAGGGAGGTTTCCAAGCTGAGCCATCCTGGCTCAGGAATTCTGGGAGTTGAAGTTCACGAGTCATGAAGGGAGCCAAGGTTGCCTATCCCTGGTACAGGGTTTCCTGCCTGAGCAGGGGGTTGGACTAGATGACCTCCAAGGTCGCTTCCAATTTTTTATTGTTGTTGCTGTTGTTATTATTATTGTTATTGCTGTTGCTATTGTTGTTGTTGTTTTGTTGTTGTTGTTGTTTATTATTACTATTATTATTACTATTATTACTATGCTAGAAGTGTGATTTCCTCACCCCCCCCACCCCCTCCCCCATGGGGAAGCATACCTCCTTGTACCGCTCCAGCTCCTGCACAAAGGTGCGTTCGTGGAAGAGTCCCTGGAGCCTCTCCTGGGCATAGTTGTGGCACAGCTCCTCAAAGGTGGCACCCCGACTCTGGCCGGCCATCTCGGGGTTCTGCAGGCCGGGGGTGTCCACGATCATCATGGAGCACAAGGAGCGCTGGCTGGACTTCAGGGCCCTGCCGGGGGGGGGGAAGAGAAAGATGGGGGGGGGGTTGAAGATAGCCAAGACCCCTGTGGGAGGGGGTCTCAGCAGCAGCTCCGCTTGGCTAGCTGGGCAAAAGTCCTCGACTTACGACCCACAAGGGAGCCCCATATTTCTGTTGCTAAGGGGGGGGCGGCTCTGTGAGTTTTGGGTCCCGTTTCATGACCTCTTTTGCCGTTATTTGTTAAACGAATTGCCGCGCTTGTGAGGACCCGCTTCCTTTGGGAAAAATAGGAAATATTTGTAGCCTGGCTTGCAGATTTCAGCTGTGGCTGGGCCCCCAAGCTTCTTTTAATAGAATTCCCCAACGTTTCGTGACCAAACCTAAATAACATCAGGATTTCCTTCTCCTGTTCTTCTTTAGCTCGTAAGCATCTTGTGTGCCGATTTGTGATCGAGATTGTTTAAAGCTGATGGTGTTAACTAGTTTGGTAAGGAAACATTCAGTGGGGGTTGCAGAGAGGAGGAGGAGGAGGAGGAGAATTATGGGGTCCTTGGTGCTCTCTGAGCTTGGTGGTTTTCTTGCAGACATTTCATGACCCAACTAGGGAACATCATCAGTGCCAGAAGGTTGGGGGGTTTGTGGAATGATGGAGGAGGAGGAGGAGGACGACGACTGTGGGATCCTTAGTGCTCTCTGAGCTTGATGGTTTTCTTGCAGACGTTTCATGACCCAACTAGGTAATATCATCAGGGCTAGTGGGGAGAGCGTTTCCAGGGAGGAGGAGGAGGGGGGGAGGGGAGGAGGAGGAGGAGGAGGAGGAGGAGGAGGAGGAGGAGGAGGAGGAGGAGGAGGAAGAGAAGGAGGAAGAGGACTGTGGGGTCCTCGGTGCTCTCTGAGCTTGGCAGTTTTCTTGCAGACGTTTCATGACCCAACTAGACAACCTCACCAGTACCAGTAGGGAGTGGGGGGTCTGCTGGCAGTTTCCATTCTGCTGGCTTGCCCTGTCCGCATTGGTGAGGGGAGGGTCTTAAAAAGACACCCTTTGATTGGGCTCTTGGCTTCTTTGGCAGGTTCTTGATTGGGGCCTTGTCTACTTGACTGCTGGTCTGGCTGCTAACCTTGGAGTTCATCTCTGCTAGTCTGGAGGCTGAGGGCCGATGGAGACGGGCCTGGGTCTTCTTCTTCCCTTCCAAAGCTCAGCCACTGTCTCTTTTGCATCATCTAGAGCAGAAGCCCCCAACCTTTTGGGTGCTGGGGACCACCGGTTCCGTGGAAAGAGTTTTTTTCCGTGGACCGGAGAGTGCGTGGTTTTGTGTGCTGCCTGCATCCCACGGATGGGGCTTTGCTTGTTTATGCGAACCGGTTGCTGGCGTACTGCAGCCCGCTACGGGTCCACAGTCCCGGGGTTGGGGACCCCTGCACTAGAGAGGTCTGTGTGTCTATTGAAGGCTGATTTATTGCCAGCCTTCTAGAAATTCCATGGCATTTTGGGGGCCTAGCCTGGCCTGGGATGGTTCCCTTTCCCCAAAGGAAACTGGGCTTAAATCTATCTACGTGTCGTGAAATTAAAGCATTTCCATCCTGTCTTCCAATTGCGGGTTGAGGTTGTGTGCCAGCATGGCGCCCCGATGGCACGGCCTTGCCGTGATGTTAACAGAGGAAGGAGCCCGTTGCTAAATAGGCAGAATGAAACCGTTTCTTAACATCCTCCCCAAACGTGGAGTTTACGCATCGCGGTCTTGTGCCAATATAGAGCATCCTTCACTGGGCGAAGATTTTACAGCTCATTGGCCAATTGTCTAAAACAGGAGTCCTCGACCTTGGCAGCTTTAAGACGAAGCAAAGCTAGCTGAGGAATTCTGGGAGTTGAAGTCCACAAGGAGAGAGAGAGAGAGAGAGAGAGAGACAGACAGACAGACAGACAGTGGGTGGATGGATGGATGGATGGATGGGATAGATAGATAGATAGATAGATAGATAGATAGATAGATAGATAGATAGATAGATAGACAGACAGACAGACAGTGGATGGATGGATGGATGGATGGATGGATGGATGGTGGATGGGAGAGAGAGAGAGAGAGAGACAGACAGACAGACAGACAGACACAGTGGATGGATGGATGGTGGATGGGATGGATAGATAGATAGATAGATAGATAGATAGATAGATAGATAGATAGATAGATAGATAGATAGAGTGAGTGAGTGAGAGAGAGAGAGAGACAGAGACAGACAGACACAGTGGATGGATGGATGGATGGTGGATGGATTAGATAGATAGATAGATAGATAGATAGATAGATAGATAGATAGATAGATAGATAGATAGATAGATAGATAGATAGATAGATAGATAACCTTTATTGTCATTCCCACCCCCTGGGCATAATGGCACACATTAAAAATGAAATTTATGTGTACACTGGAGAGCAAGCAGCTCCCCCATTTTGGCTTTTAGAAAGGGGGGAGGACTCAGGGCTGGGGGCTGCAAAAAGTTCTCATCCTCATTTGCTGGGCTAATGAATGCCAGGCTCCGGTTAATGGCAGGAGCCGGGGAGAAGAGGAGGGGGAGCATGGGGGGGAGGGGAGAAGCTTGTAGTAGTGCATACCTGTTGAGTAGGCTGATGAGGAGGGTGAAGAGCTCGGAGTACAAGCCGGCAGTCAGGGCTTCCAAGCACTCCAAGGCCGAGGTTTTGGGGCCTGCGGAGAGAGGCAAGAGGGGAGGGGGCCGGGTGAGGTGGGCCCTGCCTGGAAGGCCCCCCCGTGCCCCACCACAGCACCAGGAAGAGCCCCGATAGGTTGGACAGGTGGGGGACATCCCCCTCTCCCTCCCTCCCTCTCTCCCTCTCCCTCCTTCTCTCTCCCTCTCTCCCTTCCTCTCTCCCTCTCCCCCTCTCCCGTCTTCTTTCTCTCCCTTCCTCCCTCCCTCCCTCCCTCCCTTCTTCTCTTCCTCTCCCTCTCCCTTCTCTCTCCCTCCCTCCCTCTCTCCCGTCTTCTCTTTCTCTCCCTGTCTCCCTCCCCTCCCTCTTCCTCTCCCTTCTTCTCTCTCCCTCCCTCCCCCTCTCCCATCTTCTCTTTCTCTCCCTCCCTCCCTCCCTCCCTCTCCCTCCCTTCTTCTCTTCCTCCCTCTCTCCCTCCCTTCTCTCCCTCTCCCTTCTTCTCCCTTCCTCCCCCTCTCCCATCTCCTTCTCTCCCTCCCTCCCTCTCCCTCCCTTCTTCTCTTCCTCCCTCTCCCTTCTCTCTCCCTCTCCCTTCTTTTCTCTCCCTCCCTCCCCCTCTCTTCTTCTTTCTCTCCTTCCCTCTCTCCCTCCCTTCTTCTCTTCCTCCCTCTCTCCCTCCCTTCCTCTCTCCCTTTTCTCTCTCCCTCCCTCCCCCCTCCCTTCTTCTCTCTCCTTCTCCCTTCTTCTCTCCCTCTCCCTTCTTCTCTCTCCCTCCTCCCCCTCTTCTTCTCTTTCTCTCCTTCCCTCTCTCCCTCCCTTCTTCTTCCTCCCTCTCTCCCTCCCTTCCTCTCCCTCTCCCTTCTTCTCTCTCCCTCCCTCCCCCCTCCCGTCTTCTCTCTCTCCCTCTCCCTTCTTCTCTCCCTCTCCCTTCTTCTCTCCCTCCCCCCTCCCGTCTTCTCTCTCTCCCTCTCTTCTTCTTTCTCCCTCCCTCTCCTCTGCCTCCCTCTCTCCCTTCTCTCTCCCTTCTCTCTCTCTTCCTCCCTCTCTCTCTCCCTTCTTCTCCCTCCCTCCCACTCTCTCCCTCTCCCTCTCTGCCCCCCCTCTCCCTCTTCCAAGTCCATACTTCATGAAGTGGAGAAGGGGGGAGATCCTGTTGTCCAGCTAAAAGCCGTATTCCCTCCCACCCATCAACCCCGACTAAATAGGGGAGGAGGGGAGTGCGGGTTCTGCCCAGGGCCTTTGCCACCCACCTGAGCCGTCGGCCAGCGCCGCCTCCTCGGGCCCCTGGCGGAAGGAGGTGGACCTCTGCAGGCTCCCCTTGGGCTGCTGCTGCTTGAAGATGGCCGAGGAGAGCTCCTCCAGGTTGGAGCCCAACAGGTAGGCGGCCTTCTGGGCCCACTCGTGGCGGGCAAACTGCTTCCTCCCGCCTGGAAGGAGAAGTGGGGGGGAGGCTGAGGCCAAGGCCAGGAGACCCTCCTGCCCAGGGGGCCCCACGGACAGCCTCACCCCTCCCAGAAACACCCCCCCGAGGTGGAGGGGCTTCCCAAAGGGGCTTTCTTGATTTTTTTTTCCCTTGAAAAGGTTTCGCTTCCTGTCCAAGAAGCTTCAGAAGAGAGAGAAAAGGAAGAGAAAAGAAGGAGGGAGGGAGGGAGGGAGAAAATGGGGAAGGAAGGAAGGAAGGAAGGAAATGGCAAGGAGAGAGGGAAAAAGCCAGCAAAACAGGAAAGAAGAAAAAATGGAAGGGAAATGGAAGGGAGGGAGGGAGGGAGGAAATGAGAAGGAGAAAGCTAGGAAAACAGGAAGAAAAGAGGAAAGGAAAATGGAAGGGAGGGAGGGAGGGAGGAAGGAAATGGGAAGGAGAGAGGGAAAAAGCCAGCAAAACAGGAAGGAAGAAAAAATGAAAGGGAAATGGAAGGGAGGGAGGGAGGAAGGAAATGGGAGGGAAGGAAGGAAGGAAATGGGAAGGAGAGAGGGAGAAAGCCAGGAAAACAGAAAAGAAGAAAAATGGAAGGGAAATGGAAGGGAGGGAAGGAGGAAGAAAGGGAGGAAATGAGAGGGAAGGAAGAAAATGGGAGGGAAGGAAGGAGAGAAGGAAGGAAATGAGGAGAAAGCTAGGAAAACAGGAAGGAAGAAAAGATGAAAGGAGGGAGGGAGGGAGAGAGGAAGGAAATGGGAAGGAGAGAGGGAGAAAGCCAGGAAAACAGGAAGGAAGAAAAAATGAAAGGGAGGGAAGGAAGGGAGGGAGCGAGGAAGAAAATGGGAGGAAAGGAAGGAAATGGGAGTGAAGGAAGGAAATGGGAGGAAAGGATGGAAGGAAATGGGAAGGAGAGAGGGAGAAAGTCAGGAAAACAGGAAAGAAGAAAAAAATGGAAGGGAAATGGAAGGGAGGGAAGGAAGGAAGGAAGGAGGAAATGAGAGGGAAGGAAGAAAATGGGAGGGAAGAAAGGAGAGGAAGAAAATAAGGTGAAAGCCAGGAAAACAGGAAGGAAGAAAAGATGAAAGGGAAATGAAAGGGAGGAAGGGAGGAAGGAAATGGGAGGGAGGGAAGGAAGGACGGAAAGTAAGGAAGGAAATGGGAGGGAGGGAGGGAGGGAGGGAGGGAAGGAAGGAAGGAAGGAAGGAAGGAAGGAAGGAAGGAAGGAAGGAAGGGAGGGAGGAAGGGATTCTGAAGAACGTGGAGGAGAAACAAAAGGTTTTCAGGGAAAAAAACCCCAGAAAGTCCAGTTGCCTTTTGGGGGGAAAAGCCCCCTTGGGAGGACAGGGACCCTCCATGGACATTTGCTCAGGAAGAGATTCTGCCACCTTTCTTCCTTGGCCGGACCTCAGAGGAGAAAAGAAAAATTGCATTAAGAGGACAACAATGCCATCAGTACTTAACCAGGACCCCTGATCCTCCCCCCCTTGGCGGGACCTTCGCCCGGCCTCCTCGTAATTCATCCCGTGTGAAACAAGACAGAAGGAGACAAGAGGAGAAAAGATGCAAGAAAGCTGATAGTCCTCATGAAAATGGATTCGGGAATCGGATGAGACGAGATGGGCGGTCAACAGCTCAGCTGCCCGGCCAGGATCATCAAGGCAGGCAGCCATTTGCGTGTGGATGCATGCCTGTTTTTGTGTGTGTGTGTCTGTCTTAGTGGGTGAGAAAAGCCTTCCATCTGCCTTGCCAGAAATAATAATAATAATAATAATAATAATAATAATGTTGGAAGGGATCTTGGAGGTCATCTAGTCCAACCCCACTTGACCAGACTGCTATCATGTCCCCCCTTGTCCTTCTCTTCGTTAAACTAGACGTACCCAATTCCAGCAACCGTTCCTTACATGCTTTAGCCTCCAGTCCCCTAATCATCTTTGAAAATGTATTGGGGGGGTCCACAAGGTATGATCGAAAAGCTCAAGGTGACAACTCCACTGTTTCAACAGAAGCAAATGTGATGCTCGTGACACCAGGCCGAGCTTCAATTGCAGTGGCCGCCATCTTTAGTTTAACGAAGAGAAGGACGAGGGGGGACATGATAGCAGTCTTCCAGTATCTCAGGGGCTGCCCCAAAGAAGAGGTAGTCAAGCTATTCTCCAAAGCGCCTGAAGGACAAGAAGCAATGGATGGAAACTGACCAAGGAGAGAAGCAACCTAGAACTAAGGAGGAATTTCCTGACAGTGAGAACAATTAACCAGTGGAACTCCTTGCCTCCAGAAGCGGTGAATGCTCCAACACTGGAGGTTTTTAAGAAAAGACTGGACAGCCATTTGTCTGAAATGGTATAGGGCAGTGATGGCGAACCTTTTAGAGACCGAGTACCCAAATTGCAATCCAAAACCCACTTATTTATCGCCGGGTGCCAGGTGGCCGTCGCTGTGGTGGTCATGGCAGATTGGATGGGTGGGGCCAAGGGGTGCGTGGTCACCTCTGTTACTCATGGGGAGGGACCTGTGGGGACCTCAGTGAGTTAGCAGGCAGATGGTCGAAGAAGGACGGTTGCCATCTCCAAGGCATGGCGCGCATGCCCGAGAGGGCTCTGAGTGCCGCCTCTGGCACGCGTGCCATAGGTTCGCCACCACTGGTATAGGGTTTCCTGCCTGAGCAGGAGGTTGGGCTAGATGACCTCCAAGGTCCCTTCCAACATCAACATCATCATCATCATCATTACTATTATTATCATCATCTTGACTGTTTCGGACCACACCTGGTGGAGACCCCTGTGAAAAGGTGCTAAGATGCCAGGTGTGAGGAATCAACATGCCAACGCCTGAAAGCTGGATGGAAAGAAATGGGAAGGAGGGGGGGCGGAAAGACGGGAGAGGTAAAAAGGAGACGGGCGTTTGGGGAAAACGGAGAGCAACGTTACCTTCACTGCTGTCTGAATTGCACAACGAACAGCATGCACCATGCAAACACAAAAAGAGTGTGTTAGAAGGCAGCAACAACAGCAACAACAACAAGGCTCCTGGGGAAATATGGGGTGAGTGGGAAGAGCCAGACGTTCAAAGCAAGCGGGACCTTGACACTCCTTTGCAAGGACGTGCAAAATCTGGGGCATATGATCCCCCACCTGGTCCTAGAGCCAACCCAGTAATGCAAGGGAGGTAAGGGTCTTAGGTTCCCCCCCTCACCCTCCCAAGATCCCTTAGCTCAGTGGCCCCCCATCTTTTGGGCACCAGGGACAGGTTTTGTGGAAAGAGCTTTTTTCGTGGATTGAACGGGACGTGGTTTCGCATGCTGCCTGCATCCCGTTGATGGGGGTGGGGATCCACTTGTTTGTGCGAACCGGTTTCTGGTATGCTGCAACCTGGTGTTGCTCCATGGCCCAGGGGTTGGGGACCCCTGCTTTAGCTAGAGAAGGTCAAACCTTAAGAGTTTCTCAACCGTAGCAACTTGAAGGTGGGTGGACTTCCATTCCCAGAATTCCCCAGCCAGCCTGCTTTAAGAGGGGAGGATCCACTCCCAGAATCCCCCAGTCAGGATGCTTTAAGAGGGTGGGCTTCCCCTCCCAGAATTCCCCAGCCAGCCTGCTTTAAGATGGGTGGACTTCCATTCCCAGAATCCCCCAGCCAGCCTGCTTTAAGATGGGTGGACTTACACTCCCAGAATCCCCCCGTCAGGATGCTTTAAGAGGGTGTGCTTCCCCTCCCAGAATTCCCCAGCCAGCCTGCTTTAAGATGGGTGGACTTCCATTCCCAGAATCCCCCAGCCAGCCTGCTTTAAGATGGGTGGACTTACACTCCCAGAATCCCCCCGTCAGGATGCTTTAAGAGGGTGTGCTTCCCCTCCCAGAATTCCCCAGCCAGCCTGCTTTAAGAGGGGGGGACTTCCAATCCCAGAATTCCCCAGCCAGCCTGATTTAAGAGGGGAGGACTTCCACTCCCAGAATCCCCCAATCAGCCTGTTTTAAGAGGGGTGGACTTCCCCTCCCAAAATCCCCCAGTCACCCTTGTTTTAAGAGGGATGGGCTTCAACTCCCAGAATCCCCCAGCCAGCCTGCTTTAAGAGGGGTGGGATTCCACCCATCTTCAAGTTGCTAAGCTTGACAAACATTCCCTTAGAGCAGTGGTTCTCAACCTTTCCAATGCCGCGACCCCATAATACAGTTCCCCATGTTGTGGTGACCCCCAACCACTTATACATCACCGGGTACCAGGGGCATGGCCAAAGAAAAGGGGGGAAAAATGGCGGATAGCCTTGTTTGGCGACCCCCGTGAAATGGTCGTTCGACCCCAAATGGGGTCCCGACCCACAGGTGGAGAACCACTGCCTTAGAGATACCAATTGCCTGAAGTAGGAAATCACTCTTTAATTCATGCTACTTTCAAAGTAAGTAGAGGCAGTCCTCAACGTATGCCCATTTCATTTAGCGACCGTTCCAAATGACAACGGCACCAAAAAAAAAGGACTTGCGAATCCTTTTCCATCCTTAATGACCGTTTCAGCGTCCCCCTGGTCAAAGGATCGCAATTCGGATGATCTGCCCTCTGCCCTGTAGAGACGGACTTCAACTTACGACCGAGACTGAGCCCCAAATTTACGTTGCTAAGTGAAACCTTGGCTAAGCAAATTTTGCTCCATTTTACGACATTCCTTTGCCACAGTTCAGAGAATCACGGCCAGTGTGAATCCAGCTTCCCCGTTGAGTTTGCTCGCCCGAAAGTCACAAAAGGGAATTAGGGGGCCGTCGTAAATAAGAGTCAGGGGGCCAAGCACCCGGATTTTGATCACATGACCACGTGGGGAAGGCTGCGACGGACGTTAAGTGTGAAAAACGGTTGTAAGTTACTTTTTTTGCTCTGCAATTATAACTGTTGAACAGCTGGTAAATAAAGGCTTGTAATTTGCCGATTGCCTGTAAGTAAGTAAATAAACTATTTACCTACAAGGCTTCTTGAAGGATAAAATTGAATGTTCTGTAATTCCAAACAGTAGAGGGGGTACCTGGCTCAATAGTAGCAACTGTGAGAGGGACCTCGGAGTCCTAGTGGACAATCAAATAGGAGCCAGCCGTGTGCTGCAGCTGCCAAAAAGGCCAACACAATGCTAGGCTGCATTAACAGAGGGATAGAATCAAGATCACGTGAAGGGTTAATACCACTTTACAATGCCTTGGTAAGGCCACAGTTGGAATACGGCATCCAGTTTTGGTCACCACGATGTAAAAACGATGCTGAGACTCTGGAAAGAGTGCAGAGAAGAGCAACGAAGATGATTAGGGGACTGGAGGCTAAAACATGTAAGGAACGGTTGCTGGAATTGGGTCTGTCTAGTTTAATGAAGAGAAGGATGAGGGGGGACATGATAGCAGCCTTTCAATATCTCAGGGGCTGCTCCAAAGAAGAGGGAATCAAGCTATTCTCCAAAGCCCCTGAAGGCAGGACAAGAAGCAACGGATGGAAACTAATCAAGGGGAGAAGCAACCTAGAACTAAGGAGAAACTTCCTGACAGTGAGAACAATTAACCAGTGGAACTCCTTGCCTCCAGAAGCGGTGAATGCTCCAACATTGGAGGTTTTTAAGAAGAGACTGGACAGCCATTTGTCTGAAACGGTATAGGGTTTCCTGCCTGAGCAAGGGGTTGGACTAGATGACCTCCAAGGTCCCTTCCAACTTTATTATTATTATAACAATGCAATGCGGGCTTGCCTTTCCGCGAATATATATTTCCCCTCCTTCAAATCTTTTTTGGGGGGGAAAGTTTGCAGATCTTGAAAAACCACCAGCGTTAAAAGGAACTCGGAAGCAGCGGGCACGAGCGACCGTGCCGTGGTTTTCTTTTGTTTTCTTTTAAAAAGGAAAATTTAAGGAGATCCGCAGCATAGGGAATTTTCTTTCTTTCTTCCTTTCGGTTCAAACGGGGCCTTTCAAAACCCCGTTTTAAGAACGGGGCCTTGAGTTTGCTTTCTTCTCCTGCTTCCCGCCTCCCTTTAAAAATCCTTGACGGTCCAAAACGAACCCAGGGATTATTTCTAACTTCCCGTGACCTACTTTGAGAGGCTTTTTCAGTTTAAAAATAAAAATAAAAAATGCTTCCAATAAATGAGGTAAACCGAAGGCAGCCAAAGCAGGAGTGGGGAATTCCAGGTGGGTCTAGCTATATTTAATAATAATAATAATAATAATAATAATAATAATAATAATAATAATAATAATAATAATAAAGTTGGAAGGGACCTTGGAGGTCATCTAGTCCAACCCCCTGCTCAGGCAGGAAACCCTACACCATTTCGGACAAATGGCTGTCCAGTCTCTTCTTAAAAACTTCCAGTGTCCTTCCATCCTCCTTGTCCTTCCATCCTCGGGCTTCTGACGGTGTCCCCTCCTCAAATTAGAAGTGATCCATCCTTGCAGGGGGTCTCTAGCAACGAGGGATTACCCCTCTTTTCAACTTGGGAGAAAGAAACTAGCTGTCAAGATACGAACTTTACTGTCTATAGCAGTGGTTCTTAATCTGGGCGATATCACCCCCCCAATTTCATTTTTCAGGGGGGCAATGGAACAAAGAGAGGCGACACGGGGGTGAAGGAATGAAAAGGGGGCGATATGGGGGCAATGGAGTGAGAAGTTTTGGGGACACTTTTGAGACTTTTTCGTACAGTGAATCGCTGCATATCTGTCGTACAAAAACATCAGATCGCTGGCTATTAGTGGATTGAATTGTGTTTTCAAATGTTCCTCCAGCTAGCTTCAGCACAGAACGCCGTACGTATGTGAAGACGCATCGCTTATCTTCATGCGCGTTGCGCAGCAGCCTCTACCCTTTTTATATTTCTTTTTGCGTCTTAAATTTCACTTGTAATTCAATCATTAAACGTTACTGTTTTTCTTTTCGGGCATTTCACTTTCTTGCCATTGAATTTGTTTTCAGTGGGCATTCCATTTCAGTGTCTTGAATAAATAATAATGAAATACATGTATCGCGAAGTTTGGGAATCAAGTGACGGGTGGCACTAAAATTTTTCACACAGTTGAGATATGGGGGAAAAGACTGGAAATAAACTATTTGCATCGATATGTCCTGAGGACAATTTTAAAGAAAACAAAACAAGGGTTTGCATAAATTGAAGAATTATTTCCTATGTTGAGATTGAGAGGTTATGTTGGGCGATGACAACTTCCTCATTGGCTCAAGGAGGCGATTCGTTCAAAAAGGTTAAGAACCACTGGTCTATAGGACCACCACAGAGCTTCTAGCTTGCCAACAGTGATGGGGAGGGGGGAGTTAGGGTCCCACAGGTGTTCCCTCTCCGTGCGAGAGCCGAAACCGTCGACGGAATATTTTGACGGACGGAAGTTTTCTTATTTATTTATTTATTTTATTTTATTTATATGCCGCCCAATCCCAAAGGACTCAGGGCGGCGTACAAAATTAAAACAATCTTCTCGTAACAATTGCTGGAAGATTAATTGGACAATATGACCTGAGCTAATATCCACCACCGAAGATATGCAGATGATGCCACTCTAATGGCAGAAAGCGAAGAGGAACTCAAGAGCCTCTTGATGCGGGTGAAGAAGGAGAGTGCAAAAGTGGGCTTGGAACTCAACCTTAAGAAAACCAAGATCACGGCATCCGGCCCTCTCAATTCCTGGCCAATAGTCCAGCCCCCTGCTCAAGCAGGAGACCCTGTACCATTTCGGACCAATGGCTGTCCAGTCTCTTCTTTAAAACTTCCAGTGTTGGAGCATTCACAGCTTCTGGAGGCAGGTGGTTCCACTGGTTAATTGTTCTGACTGTCAGGAAGTTTCTCCTTAGTTCCAGGTTGCTTCTCTCCTTGATTTATTTATTTATTTATTTATTTATTTTTAATATTTATATGCCGCCCAATCCCGAAGGACTCAGGGCGGCGTACAAAGTTAAAAACAGTCATAAAACAATAAAATAATAAAATAATAAAATAATACAATCATACCGCGAGTCCGGTCATATCCCGCCCCCCCGGGGACATCAGCCCCAGGCCTGCCGGAACAGGAGAGTTTTAACGGCTTTCTTAAAGGCCAGCAGGGTGGGAGTAGTTCGAACCTCGGGGGGAAGTTGATTCCACCAGGTCGGAGCCACCACAGAAAAGGCCCTTCCCCGAGGGCCCGCCAGCCGACATCGTCTGGCCGACGGGACCTGAAGGAGGCCCAATCTATGGGACCTCACCGGTCTCTGGGAGCTGTGCGGCAGAATGCGTTGCTTCTTGTCCTGCCTTCAGGCACTTTGGAGAATAGCTTGACTCCCTGAGATACTGGAACACTGCTATTGTCCCCCTTCATCCTTCTCTTCCTTAAAGTAGACATCCCCAATTCCAGCAGCCTTTCCTTATATGCTTTAGCCTCCAGTCCCCTGTTCCTCTTTGTGGCTCTTCTCTGCAAACTTTCTAAAGCTCAGTGACTTTTTTGCATCGTGATGACCAGAACTGGACACAGGACTTCAACCCCCTTTCTTGCCAGGAAGCCCCTCTTGGCCAAATGCCAGACACACACACACACACACACACACACACACACACACACCACTCTACCTTTGGTGGCTCCGGCCGCCCCCAGGTGGCAAATGGCGCCCAGGACGAGCCAGAAGACTTTCTGTTCCTCCCCAGAGATGCCCATCACCTTCATGGCCGCCTGCAACCTGCTGAACTGCTGGGCCGCTTTCTGCTTCTCCTCCGGCTGCAGCCCAAGAGAAAAAGAGAAAGAAAAAAAAATCAAGAAGGAAAGAAAGACTGTTGTAAAACCCTGAAGTCATTTGTTGTTGTTTTTTTAGCGCCAGCCTCAAGAGGGTTACTCCGTCAGAGCAGGGTTAGGCCCGGGAGATCTTGCGCCGGTCCTCTCCCAGCAAGGAGGGAAAAGCAAGATAAGCCTTTAATTAAAACTCCGTGTAAACCGTGAGAAGACTGAGAGCATCCTTGCTACCTCGCCGGGCAGAGAATGGAATGGTATGGAGAATAGAATAGAGAATAGAATAGAGAATATAGAATACAGAATAGAATAGAGACTAGAATAGAGAATAGAATATAGATTAGAATGGAGAATAAAATAGAGAATAGAATACAGAATAGAATACAGAATAGAATATAGATTAGAATGAATATAGAATATAGAATAGAATAGAGAATAGAATAGAATAGAGAATAAATATAGAATAGAATACAGAATAGAATATAGATTAGAATGAATATAGAATATAGAATATAGAATAGAATAAATAAATAGAGAATAGAGAATAGAATGTAGAATATACAATACAGAATAGAATATAGATTAGAATAGAGAACAGAATATAGATTAGAGTGGAGAATAAAATATAGAACAGAATAGAGAATATAGAATACAGAATAGAAAATAGAATATAGAATAGAATACAGAATAGAATATAGATTAGAATGAATATAGAATATAGAATAGAATAGAGAATAAATAGAGAATAGAGAATAGAATAGAGAATAGAGAATACAGAATAGAATATAGATTAGAATGAATATAGAATATGCAATAGAATAGATAATAAATATAGAATAGAATAGAGAATAGAATAGAGAATATAGAATACAGAATAGAATATAGATTAGAATGGATATAAAATATAGAATAGAATAGAGAATAGAATATAGATTACAATGGAGAATATTGAATACAGAATAGAATATAGAATAGAATAGACAATAGAATATAGATTAGAATGGAGAATAGAATAGAGAATCGAATCAAATCAAATCAAATAGAGCTGGAAGGGACCTTGGAGGTCTTCTAGTCCAGCCCCCTGTTCGAGCAAGAAAACCTATGCCATCTCAAACAGTTGGCTGTCTAGTCTTTTCTTAAAAACCTCCAGTGATGGAGCGCCCACGATTTCTGGTGGCAAGCTGTTCCACTGGCTAATTGTCCTCCCTGTCAGGAAGTTTCTCCTTAACTCCAGGTTGCTTCTCTCCTTGATGAGTTTCCAACCATTTTTCCTTTTCCTTCCCTCTGGTCCTTTGGAGAATAACGTGACCCCCTCCTCTTTGTTCCAGCATAGCGGCTTCCGCAGAAGAGGCCTCGTAGATCTTGGTCAAGACCACCCCAGCTCTCCCCCTGCTCCAGACCAGTCCAGGCGAAATGCCCGCCCTCCCAACCAGCCCGGATACCTTGGACAGCGGCAGGATGCCAAAGACGTTGTTCTCGGCCAGGTGATTGAAATGCAACTCGGTCCTGCAAAGAGGAGGAAGAGGAGAGGAGGTCACAGAAAGCCACAGGTTGACCAGACATCTGGCCCTTTGGCTATCCCTGCCCAGCCCGCCCGGGCTGCTTTTACAGGGGGGTCCTCAGCTTATAGACGTTTGTTTAGCGACCGTTTGGCATTACAAGGGCACTAAAAAAGGCGATTGACGGCCCTTTTCCATCCTTGCAGTATCCCTGTGGTCAGGTGATCAAAATTCGGACGCTCGGCAACCGGCATATATTTATAACAACAAGAACAATAATAATAATGCTGGAAGAAACCTTGGAGGTCATCTAGTCCAACCCCCTGCTCAGGCAGGAAACCCTAGACCATTTCGGACAAATGGCTGTCCAGTCTCTTCTTAAAAACTTCCAGTGTTGGAGCATTCACAGCTTCTGGAGGCAGGTTGTTAATAATAATAATAAAGTTGGAAGGGACCTTGGAGGTCATCTAGTCCAAGGGTAGGCAACCTTGGCTCTTTTATGACTCGTGGACTTCAACTCCCAGAATTCCTGAGCCAGTATGGCTGGCTCAGGAATTCTGGGAGTTGAAGTCCACGAGTCATAAAAGAGCCAAGGTTGCCTACCTCTGATCTAGTCCAACCCCCTGCTCAGGCAGGAAACTCTATATACGATTTCAGACAAATGGCTGTCCAGTCTCTTCTTAAAAACTTCCAGTGTTGGAGCATTCACCGCTTCTGGAGGCAAGGAGTTCCACTGGTTATTTGTTCTAACTGTTAGGAAGTTTCTCCTTAGTTCCAGGTTGCTTCTCTCCTTGATAAGTTTCCATCTGTTGCTTCTTGTCCTGCCTTCGGGGGCTTTGGAGAATAGGCTAATCCTCCCCCCTCTTCTTTGGGGCAGCCCCTCAAATATTGGAATACTGCTATCATGTCCCCCCTCGTCCTTCTCTTCATTAGACTAGACATTAAAAATAAAATTCTGTTGCCTGCTCTCAAAAGTGTACACATACATAACACACTTATAAACACGCTATATACAATGTATGTATATACCTACATCCTTACATATAAATATTAATCTAGTCTAAAAATGGCTAGCCTAAAGAAAAGAAGAAATAGGGGAGACATGATAGCTGTGTTCCAGTATCTGAGGGGCTGCCACAAGGAAGAGGGGGTCAGTTGTTCACCAGAGCACCAGAGGGAAGGACGAGAAACAATGGTTGGAAATTGATCAAAGAGAGAAGCAACCTGGAACTAAGGAGAAACTTCCTGACAGTGAGGACAATCAACCAGTGGAACAGCTGGACTTCAGAAATCGTGGGCGCTCCATCGCTGGAGATTTTAAGAAAAGAGTAGACATCCACCTGTCTGAGATGGTAAAGGTTCTCCTGCTTGAGCAGGGGGCTGGACTAGAAGACCTTCAAGGTCCCCTCCAACCCTGTTCTGTTCTGTAAAGTTATGCTTAAAATCCTACAAGCTAGACTCCAGCAGTATGTGGATCGAGAACTACCAGAAGTACAGGCAGGATTTCGAAGAGGCAGAGGAACTAGAGATCAAATTGCCAACGTACATTGGATCATGGAGAAAGCTAGGGAGTTCCAGAAAACCATCTACTTCTGCTTCATTGACTATGCAAAAGCCTTTGATTGTGTGGATCACAACAAATTGTGGCAAGTTCTTAAAGAGATGGGAATACCAGACCATCTTATTTGTCTCTTGAGAAACCTATATGTGGGTCAAGAAGCAACAGTGAGAACTGGACACGGAACCACTGATTGGTTCAAAATTGGAAAAGGAGTCCGCAAGGCTGTATACTGTCGCCCTGCCTATTTAACTTATATGCAGAGCACATCATGAGAAAGGCAGGGCTAGATGAAACAAAAGTTGGAATTAAGATTGCCGGGAGAAATATCAACAACCTAAGATACGCAGATGATACCACTCTGATGGCAGAAAGTGAAGAGGAACTAAAGAGCCTCTTGATGCGGGTGAAGAAGGAGAGTGCAAAAGTTGGCTTGAAACTCAACATTAAGAAAACCAAAATCATGGCATCCGGCCCTCTCAATTCCTGGCAAATAGATGGGGAAGAAATGGAGGTAGTGACAGATTTTATTTTTCTGGGCTCCAAGATCACCTCAGATGGGGACTGCAGCCAAGAAATTAAAAGACGCTTGCTCCTGGGGAGGAAAGCTATGGCAAATCTAGACAGCATTCTAAAAAGCAGAGACATCACCCTGCCAACAAAAGTGCGTATAGTCCAGGCCATGGTTTTCCCAGTTGCAATGTATGGCTGTGAAAGTTGGACCATAAGAAAGGCTGAGCGCAAAAGAATTGAGGCCTTTGAACTATGGTGCTGGAGAAGACTTCTGCGAGTCCCCTGGACTGCAAGGCGATCCAACCGGTCAGTCCTGGAGGAGATCAACCCCGACTGCTCTTTAGAAGGCCAGATCCTGAAGTGGAAACTCAAATTCTTTGGCCACCTAATGAGAAGGAAGGACTCACTGGAGAAGAGCCTGATGCTGGGAAAGATGGAGGGCAAGAGAAGAAAGGGACGACAGAGAATGAGGTGGCTGGATGCAGTCACTGAAGCAGTAGGTGTGAACTTAAATGGACTCCAGAAGATGGTAGAGGATAGGAAGACCTGGAGGAACGTTGTCCATGGGGTCGCGATGGGTCGGACACGACTTCGCAATTAACAACAACAACAACAATTCTATTCTATTCTATTCTATTCTATTCCATTCCATATTTTCTATTCTATTCTACTCTACTCTACTCTATTCTATTCATTATTCTATTCCATTCCATTCCATATTTTCTATTCTATTCTTTATTTTGTTCTATACTCCATTCTGTTCTATTCTTTATTCTGTTCTATTCTTTATTCTGTTCTATTCTCTATTCTATTCTACTCTATTCTATTCTTCATTATTCTATTCTATTCTATTCTATTCATTATTCTATTCTATTCCATTCCATTCCATATTTTTTTTCTATTCTATTCTTATTCTATTCTTATTTTATTTCTATTCTATTCTATATTCTGTTTTATTCTGTTCTAGTCTAGTCTAGTCTAGTCTAGTCTAGTCTAGTCTAGTCTAGTCTAGTCTAGTCAATTCTAGTCTATTCTAGTCTAGTCCAGTCCAGTCCATTCTATCCTATTCACTCTTTCACCCACCAAGACATGGGGTTCCCTTTCATGGCAAGTGGGGATACTGAGTGGGGATGGGACTCTTCCCCCTGAGGTCCAGGGGCCCTAAACTCACACCATGGACAGTCTAGGAAGATGGACACCTTCTGCCAGGTATAGAAGCAGCCCAGATCCAAACAGGGTCATCCTGAAGACTCCTCCTCTCCCCCCCTTCCTTTCACAGCACCTGACTTTTGAGGTCCCCCAAATTCTAAGCCCAGACCTCAAGAGTCTCCTTACCGCAAGGCGTTGTCCGGACAGGCCAGGAGATAGTAGAAGACGTTGAAGGTCCCCTCGTTGGTGGGACGCTTGGCCACGCGGAGCTTCTCCAGCAACATGGTCTGAAAAAAGCAGCGGGAAGAGAAGGTTTTGGTGTGGGCACCCCTGGTAGGACCAGGAGCCTCTGATGGTGGCCCAGTTTGGTTTCTTCTCAGTCTTGGATGGTGGTGACTTGACTTGACATGACGTGGATGTAGGAGATGCTGGTTCTGTCCACGGCACCATCGTCATACAAGACGAGTGGGTGCCAGTCAACCTCAAACAAGGTTTCTCAACCTTGCCCATTTTAAGAGGGGTGGGCTTCCACTCCCAGAATCCCCCAGCCAGCCTGCTTTAAGAGGGGTGGGCTTCCACTCCCAGAATCCCCCAGCCAGCCTGCTTTAAGAGGAGTGGGCTTCCACTCCCAGAATCCCCCAGCCAGCCTGCTTTAAGAGGAGTGGGCTTCTACTCCCAGAATTCTCCAGCCAGCTTGCTTTAAGAGGGGTAGGCTTCCACTCCCAGAATTCCCCAGCCAGCCTGCTTTAAGAGGGGTGGGCTTCCACTCCCAGAATCCCCCAGCCAGCCTGCTTTAAGAGGGGTGGGCTTCCACTCCCAGAATCCCCCAGCCAGCCTGCTTTAAGAGGGGTTCCACTCCCAGAATCCCCCAGCCAGCCTGCTTTAAGAGGGGTGGGCTTCCACTTCCCAGAATCCCCCAGCCAGCCTGCTTTAAGAGGGGTGGACTCCCAGAATCCCCCAGCCAGCCTGCTTTAAGAGGGGTGGGCTTCCACTCCCAGAATCCCCCAGCCAGCCTGCTTTAAGAGGGGTGGGCTTCCACTCCCAGAATTCCCCAGCCAGCCTGCTTTAAGAGGGGTGGACTTCCATTCCCAGAATCCCCCAGCCAGCCTGCTTTAAGAGGGGTGGGCTTTCACTCCCAGAATCCCCCAGCCAGCCTGCTTTAAGAGGGGTGGACTTCCACTCCCAGAATCCCCCAGCCAGCCTGCTTTAAGAGGGGTGGGCTTCCAGTCCCAGAATCCCCCAGCCAGCCTGCTTTATGAGGGGTGGATTTCCACTCCCAGAATCCCCCAGCCAGCCTGCTTTAAGAGGGGTGGGCTTCCACTCCCAGAATCCCCCAGCCAACCTGCTTTAAGAGAGGAGGATTTCAACTCCCAGAATTCCCCAGCCAGCTTGCTTTAAGAGGGGTGGGCTTCCACTCCCAGAATTCCCCAGCCAGCCTGTTTTAAGAGAGAAGGACTTCAACTCCCAGAATTCCCCAGCCAGCTTGCTTTAAGAGGGGTGGGCTTCCAGTCCCAGAATCCCCCAGCCAGCCTGCTTTAAGAGGGGTTAGGGACATCCACTCCCAGAATCCCCCAGCCAGCATGCGATTTGCCATTCTCAAGCCCCAGGAACGGCTCCAGGTAGAGAGGTGAGAGCTTGGAGGACTGAGACCCCCCCGACACACACCCCCCCGGGCTCACCTGCACAGAAGCCGAGGCCACCTGCCCGGCCTGGTCAAAGTCCAGCGAGATAATCTGGGAGAAGCGACTGGCGTTGCTGTTCAGGCTGGTGCTGCTGTTCCCGAAAGCCTCCAGGATGGTGTAAAGGGCCTGCCACTTCTCCACTGCCGGGGCAGAAGGAGGGCAGCCTGGTTAGCCTCTGTGTGTCTGTGGTGTGTGTGTGTGTATCTGTGTTGTGTGTGTGTCTGTGTGTGTCTGTGTGTGTCTGTGTGTGTGTGCAGGTGTGGCTCCAGCACACAGCATGCTTCCGCCCTCACTGGCCATGGCTAAGGTCTAGAGCAGGGGTGTCTAATCGTGGTTACTTTTAAGAGTTAGGGATTTCAATTCCCAGAATTCCCCAGCATCCTTTAAGAGGGAAGGAAGGAGGGACGGAGGAAAGAAGGGAATGGGAGGGAGGGAATGGGTGAGAGGGAGGGAGGAAGGAAAGGAAAGAGGGAGGGAGAACGAAGGGAGGGAGGAAATGAGAGAGAGGGAGGGAGAGAGAGGGGGGGAGGGATGAAGAAAGAGAGGGAGAGAGGAAGGAAGGAAGGAAGGGAGGGAGAGAGCGAGAAATAGTGAGAGAGAGACAGAGAGAGGGAGGGAGGGAGAGAGAGAGAGAAAGGAAGGAAGGAAGAAAGAAAGAGGGAAAGAAAGAGGGAGGGGAAGAAAGAAAGAAAGAAAGAAAGAAAGAAAGAAAGAAAGAAAGAAAGAAAGAAAGAAGAAAGTGAGAGAGAGAAAGAGAGAGAAATAGAGAGTGAGAGAGACAGAGAGTGGGAGTGAGCGAGAGAGAGAAAGAAAGGAAGGAAGGGAGGGAAAGAAAGAAAGAGGGAGGGAAAGAAAGAAAGAAAGGAAGGAAGGAAGGAAGGAAGGAAGGAAAGAAAGAAAGAAAGAAAGAAAGAAAGAAAGAAAGAAAGAAAGAAAAGGAGAGAGAAATAGAGAGTGAGAGAGAGAGACAGAGAGTGGGAGGGAGGGAGAGAAAGAAAGGAAGGAAGGAAGAGGGAAAGAAAGAAAGAAAGAAAGAAAGAAAGAAAGAAAGAAAGAAAGAAAGAAAGAAAGAAAAGGAGAGAGAAATAGAGAGTGAGAGAGAGAGAGACAGAGAGTGGTAGGGAGGAGGAGAAAGAAAGGAAGGAAGGAAGGAAGGAAGAGGGAAAGAAAGAAAGAAAGAAAGAAAGAAAGAAAGAGGAAGGAAGGAAGGAAGGAAGGAAGGAAGGAAGGAAGGAAGGAAGGAAGGAAGGAAGGAAGGAAGGAAGGAAGGAAGGCCACCCGCTGTCTGTCCAGCCAGGTCCCAACGCGAGGGTGTGTGTGTGTGTGTGTGTGTGTGTGTGAGAGAGAGAGAGACCCACCTGAGAAGACCCTCCCGGGGCTGCCGGCGATGGTGGCCAGATACTGCACCAGGTGCTGGGCGCTGGTGCTCTTCCCGCTGCCGCTGCTGCCCAGGAAGACCATGGACTGGTCCTGGCGGCTCATCAGCATGGCCCGGTAGGCGGCCTGGGCCAGGGCGTAGACGTGCGGGGAGGTCTCCTCCTTCCGGCACCCCTTGAACATGTGCATCACCTGCAAGAAGCAACCGGGGGGGGGGCGGTCCTCGCATTTACGACCGTTCGTTTAGGGACCAAACTTACAACAGCGCCCAAAAAAGCCAACTCAGGACTGTTTTTCCACACTTACGCCCGTTGCAGCACCCCCCCTGTGGTCACGTGATCAAAATTCGGACGCTTGGCCACTGACTTGTATTTATGACGGATGCAGCGTGCCCAGGGATGTCACATGACTCCCTTTTGCGCCCTTCACACAAGCAAAGCCAACGGGGGGGAAGCCAGATTAGCAACAACCGGGTTACTCATTTAACAACTGCAGGGACTCACTTAACAACGAGAAAGGTCGTAAAACGGGGGCCAAAACTTCCTTAACACCTGTCTCACTTGGCAACGGAAATACGGCACCCAGCTGTGGTCGTAAGTGGAGGACTGCCGGGGTTACGTCCTTCTGGGGCCACCATGTATACCAGGGGTCTTCCAACTTGGCCCTTTGATGACTTGTGGACTTCAACTCCCAGAATTCCTCAGCCAGGCTCAGGAATTCTGGGAGTTGAAGTCCACCAGTCATCAAAGGGCCAAGTTGGAAGACCCCTGCTTGTGGACTTCAACTCCCAGAATTCCTCCGCCAGCATGCCTGGCAGAGGAATTCTGGGAGTTAGTCCACCAGTGATCAAAGGGAGAAGTTGGAAGAGCCCTGGTCTACACCCACCTTCTCGGAGTACATGGATGGAGAGCTGAGCGGGTTGATGACCACCAAGTTGGGGCCGGCGTAGGTGTGGATGAGGTTCCCGCCGTAGCGCTGACGAAGAGTGTGCAAGGCGCTGGACTCATTGAGGTAGACCAGGTTGGCCAGGTCCTCCAATCGGTCGCACGATGGAGGATTGGCCTGATCAAAGAAGAGATTGGGAAGACAAAAGGAAAAACAGGTTAGTTTGGACTGGACCAGGAGCAGTCTGTGGGATAATAAAACCCTAGGGCAGGGGTAGGCAACCTTGGCCCCTTCATGACTGGTGGACTTCAACTCCCAGAATTCCTGAGTCAGCATGGGGGAACTATGGCCCCTTCGTGACTGGTGGACCAACTCCCAGAATTCCTGAGCCAGCATGGGGGAACTATGGCCGCTTCATGACTCGTGGACTTCCAGAATTCCTGAGCCAGCATGGCTCAGCTTGGAAACCTCTCCCTTTCCCCTCAGCATGGCTGGCTCAGGAATTCTGGGAGTTGAAGTCCACAAGTCATGAAGGGGGCCATAGTTCTCCCATGCTGGCTCAGGAATTCTGGGAGTTGAAGTCCACCAGTCATGAAGGGGCCATAGTTCTCCCCCATGCTGGCTCAGGAATTCTGGGAATTGAAGTCCACCAGTCATGAAGGGAGCCATAGTTCCCCCATACTGGCTCAGGAATTCTGGGAGTTGAAGTCCTTAAGTCATGAAGGGGCCATAGTTCCCCCATGCTGGCTCAGGAATTCTGGGAGTTGAAGTCCACCAGTCATAAAAGAGCCAAGGTGGCCTAGCCCTGTCCTAGGGTTACAAGGGGTTTCAAGAGGTGTTCTAGTCCAACCTATTCCCAAACCTTACACCCAGTTCCGGACAAATTGTTCTCTTCTTGAAACCCCCCTATGATGGAGAACCCGCAACTTCCAGAAGCAGGTTGTTCCGCTGATTAATTGTCCTCCCTGTCAGGAAATTCCTCCTTAGTTCCAGCTTGGATCTCCCTCGGACTTCAACACCCAGAATTCCCCAGCCAGTATGCTTTAAGATAGGTAGAGTTGGAATCATAGAGATGGAAGGGACCTTGGAGGTCTTCTAGTCCAACCCCGTGCTCAGGCAGGAAACCCTATACCATCTCAGACAAGTGACTGTCTAGCCTCTTCTTAACAACCTCCAGTGATGGAGCGCCCACAACTTCTGGTGGCAAGCTGTTCCATTGGCATCAGAAGAAGAAGAAGAAGAAGAAGAAGAAGAAGAAGAAGAAGAAGAAGAAGAAGAAGAAGAAGAAGAAGAAGAAGAGAGGAGGAGGAGGAGGAGGAGGAGGAGGAGGAGGAGGAGGAGGAGGAGGAGGAGGAAGAAGAAGAAGAAGGAGGAGGAGGAGGAGGAGGAAGGAGAAGAAGAAGAAGAAGAAGAAGAAGAAGAAGAAGAAGAAGAAGAAGAAGAAGAAAGAAGAGGAGAAGAAGAAGAGGAGAGAAGAGGAGGAGGAGGAGGAGGAGGAGGAGGAAGAAGTAGTAGTAGTAGCAGCAGTAGTAGTAGTTGGAAGGGACCTTGGAGGTCATCTAGTCCAACCCCCTGCTCAGGCAGGAAACCCTATACCATTTCAGAAAAATGGCTGTCCACTCTTCTTAAAAACTTCCAGTGTTGGAGCACCCACAACTTCTGGTGGCAAGCTGTTCCATTGGTTAATTGTTCTCAACATCAGGAAATATCCTCCTTAGTTCTAGGTCACCTTGTTGCTTCTTGTCCTGCTTTCAGGTGTTTTGGAAAATAGCTTGACTCCCTCTTCTTTGGGGCAGCCCCTGAGATACTGGAACACTGCCATCCTGTCCTCCCTCGTCCTTCTCTTCGTTAAACTAGACCAGTGTGGTTCTCCACCTGTGGGTCGGGACCCCATTTGCGGTCGAACGACCATTTCACGGGGGTCGCCAAACAAGGCAGTCCGCCATTTTTTCCCCCCTTTTCTTTGGCCACGCCCCTGGCACCCGGTGATGTATAAGTGGTTGGGGGTCACCACAACATGGGGAACTGTATTATGGGGTCGCGGCATTAGAAAGGTGGAGAACCACTGAACTAGACATACCCAATTCCAGCAACCGTTCCTTATATGTTTCAGCCTCCAGTCCCCTGATCATCTCCGTTGCTCTGTTCTGCACTCTTTCCAGGGTCTCAGCATCCCTTTTGGGACCCCCGGCCCAGCTTCCCCCTCCTACCTTTTCAATGTCATCTTCGTCCACTTCCAGAACGGCCCCATCGTAGTCCAGTTTCACTTTGACCTTCCCCTCCGGCAAGGTGCTGGCAGCGTCCGACTTTACCTGGCTTGCTGGGAATGCAGGCAGAATAAGAGAAGGGGACGTGAATTCCCAGGGGTCAAGCCAGACAGACCCTCCCCCAGACAGAGCCACACACCTCTGGCTCATCAGCGGGGCTCTGCTGCCACCTGCTGGACCACACACACAAATACACACACACACACACACACACACACACACGCACACAAACACATACATACACACACACACACACACACACACAAACACATGGATGCACACACCTGTCCCCAAAACTGACACCACATCCTACAGGAGAGGTCTTCCAACTTGGCCCTTGGATGACTTGTGGACTTCAACTCCCAGAATTCCTCAGCCAGGCACTTGCGTGCCTGGCTGAGGAATTCTGGGAGTTGAAGTCCACAAGTCATCCAAGGGCCAAGTTGGAAGACCCCTGCCCTAAAGCAACGAAGACCAGGAGCAGAAAAAGGAAAAGTCGAAGCCCCTTTTCTGCGCTTCCTATTTTTTTAAACAACTTTTAAAAGTCGGCCTTGGTTTTCACGGTTAGGAAAGGTCATGGTTTCACGAAATTAATTACTCCAGGGAGTAATTCCTTGACTTAACACTACTGTGGTGGTGGTGGTGGTGGTGGTGCTGGAGGAGGAGGAGGAGGAGGAGGAGGAGGAGAACTGTGGGGTCCCTGGTGCTCTCTGAGCTTGGTGGGTTTCCTTGCAGACGTTTCATGACCCATCTAGGGAACATCATCAGTGCCAGAAGGGAGGAGGAGGAGGAGGAGGAGGAGGAGGATGGGGGGGGGGACTATGGGATCCTTGGTGCTCTCTAAGCTGGGTGGGTTCCTTACAGACATTTCACTAACCCAATGGTTCTCAACCTGTGGGGTCGGGACCCCATTTGGGGTCGAACGACCATTTCATGGGGGTCGCCAAACAACGCAGTCCGCCATTTTCCCCCCTTTTCCTTAGCTGTGCTCCTCCCTTTTATTCTATTGGCTTTTGAAAGCCAATAGAATAGACGCTCTTGAATAGAGTCTCATTCTATTGGCTTTCAAAAGCCAATAGGAATTGTCCAGGCTGTCTCTGCCCTGCTGAGCCCGCCAAAAGTCCCATTCTGCAAACGGTGCTGCACCAGTGGAGTAGTCCTCGACTTACGACCGGTTGAGTAGTCCTCGATTTACGACCGGTTGGGGGTCGCGGCATTAAAAAGGTTGAGAACCACTGCACTAACCCAACTAGGGAACATCATCAGTACCAGAAGGGAGGAGGAGGAGGAGGAGGAGGAGGAGGAGGAGGAGGAGGAGGAGGAGGAGGAGGAGGAGGAGGAGGAGGAGGAGGAGGAGAACGACGACTGTGGGGTCCTGGGTGGTCTCTAAGCCTGGTGGTTTTCCTGCAGATGTTTCATGACCCAGCTAGGGAATATCATCAGTGCTAGGAGGAGGAGGAGGAGCAGACGCAGCAGCAGGAGCAGGAAGGGACAGAGGAGGAGAAGGAGAAGGATATGAGATCCTTGGTGCTATCTAAGCTTGGTGGTTTTTCTGTAGACATTTCATGACTCAGCTAGGGAACATCATTAGTGCTAGAAGGGAGAGGGAGGAGGAGGAGGAGGAGGAGGAAAGGACTGTGGGGTCCTTGGTGTTCTCTGAGCTTGGTGGTTTTCCTGCAGACCTTTCATGACCCAACTAGGGAACCTCCTCAGTCAGTGCGGAAGACCACCCAACTCAGGGAGCACCAAGCACCCCACCTAATTCCAATGTCCACCAGGCTGCTTCCCCCTCTCCCCCCTTCCTCCCTCTGACCCACAGGATCCTCATCAGAGAGAGGCAATCCATCCTTCCGATGTTTCAAAGGCACCTGCTGCGTGCAGGTTGTCACGTCATCGCAGGGTGGAAACTAACCCACTGGCTCTCTAACCCAGTGGTTCTCAACCTTTTTAATGCCGCGACCCCCCAACTGGTCGTACGTCGAGGACTACTCAACCGGTCGTAAGTCGAGGACTACTCAACTGGTGCAGCACTGTTGGCAGAACGGGACTTTTGGCGGGCTCAGCAGGGCAGAGACAGCCTGGACAATTCCTATTGGCTTTGGAAAGCCAATAGAATTAGAGTCTATTCAAGAGAGTCTATTCTATTGGCTTTCAAAAGCCAATAGAATAAAAGGGAGGAGCACAGCTAAGGAAAAGGGGGGGAAAAAATGGCGGACTGCGTTGTTTGGCGACCCCCGTAAAATGGTCGTTCGACCCCACATGGGGTCCCGACCCACAGGTGGAGAACCACAGCTCTAACCCCACCAAAAAGGCAAACAAGACGTTATGGGGTACTGAACGTGCACGGGGGGCTCCCCCCAAAGACAGCCCCCCTCCCCCACCCACTCGGGGCCCCTCACTCACCCAGCGAGAATCCATCTTTGTGAACCAGCCACACCTTCTCCGTCTCACACCAGGCCTCTTCGGCAGCAATCTGCTCCTCCGTCTTGGCCTGCCGTGGCGGGTTGGAGAACAGAAGGGGAGATGTTACTGGCGCACCCTTGGCGGGGACTCCCCAACTTACAACAGCGCTGAAAAATTGCGACTTGGGACCCGTTTTTCACGGTTACGACCTTTGCAGCCTCCTTGTGGGCCGTGTCGTTAAAATTCAGACGCTTGGCCACTGACCCGTATTTATGACGGTGGCGGTGTGCCCGGAGGGTGTCACGGCATCCCTTTTTGTGGCCTTCCGACAAGCAATGCCAATGGGGGATGCTGGATTCGCTTAACAACCGGGGCGACTGACTTATCGACGGGGGTGATTCGCTTAACAACGGGGGGCGAGAAAAGTCGTAACGTGGGGGCCAAGCTCGCTTAACGCATTTCTCGCTTAGCAACAGAAACGTTGGGCTGAAGGGCGGTGGTTAAGTCGAGGACTACCTGTGCTTTGACAATAAGACATGAAGTCTACCAGGGTGGGATGGAAGGTTAGGGCACCAATCGCCTTTCAGCGCCACCGCGGAGCGGTCCACGCAACAGTCCATGGCTGCTCTCTTTCCCTGGTCCCACCTTGCATACTCTTTCCATCAGTCCACCCTCCGCTTGTCATTTAGTGGATTAACACAAACACACGCACACACAAAGGGAGCTTGAGAGTGAGGCCGACGGCCTTTTGGTTGCCATCGTTCTCCTTCAACTTTCCAAAGAGGGTATCCATAACTGGGGTGGGGGGTGAGGGGGGGTAAGCATGCAGCATGAATTGCCAATCCTCCCGAGAGAGGCAGGCGGCCATCGATGCATGGACACTACATGCAAACTGTCAAGGTAATGATTTAGAAGCTAACCATCTGATGTAATGTATGATGTAATGGTGGGAATGACTCAGCAGGATCTATGTCCCTTTAAGATCCAGCAGGGTCTGTGTCTCTTTAAGAGCCAGCAGGTTCCGTGTCCCTTTAAGAGCCAGCAGGGTCTGTATCTCTTTAAGAGCCAGCAGGGTCTGTGTCCCTTTGAGCCAGCAGGGTCTATGTCCCTTTAAGAGCCAGCAGGGTCTATGTCCCTTTAAGAGCCAGCAGGGTCTGTGTCCCTTTGAGCCAGCAGGGTCTATGTCCCTTTAAGAGCCAGCAGAGTCTGTGTCCCTTTAAGAGCCAGCAGGGTCTGTGTCCCTTTAAGAGCCAGCAGGGTCTCTTTAAGAGCCAGCAGGGTCTCTTTAAGAGCCAGCAGGGTCTGTGTCTCTTTAAGAGCCTTTTATAAAAGGACAGGCTCCACAGTTCTGTGCTCCCTCTTCCATTTCCTGCTGTGACTGTGGTGTGTGGACCCTGCTGTGTGTACAGTATATTGTTCCTGGTGTATGATGTTGTAGATAGTGTAAGATAAACCACCATTTAAGGTAGACCACTGTTTACTCCTGGGTTATCTCAATGCAATAAGACTGGGCATGCTCTGACACAAATCCCTGAGCCTGGGCTCACCTGGGGGAAAGGAGGAAGCATGTCTGGTCTCCTCTGAGGAGGTCAACCTAAAGTCTCTCTCTCTAGCCCAGTGGTTCTCAACCTGTGGGTCAGGACCCCATTTGGGGTCGAACGACCATTTCACGGGGGTCGCCAAACAAGGCTATCCGCCATTTCCCCCCCCCCTTTTCTTTGGCCACGCCCCTGGCACCCGGTGATGTATAAGTGGTTGGGGGTCACCACAACATGGGGAACTGTATTATGGGGTCGTGGCATTAGAAAGGTTGAGAACCACTGCTCTAGGCAACTCTGAGCTCTCCCAGATATAGGTTGTGTGATGAGGTTTTCTCCTCGGCCAATATTGAACTTCGCAGCTGGGGAAAGGTGGGTGGAAGGAAGGAAGGAGGCCAGCTCCAAGGAGAAAGTGGGAAGACATTTCCTGGTCATGAAGTCTACCAGAGTGGGATGGAAGGTTAAGTTTCTAGCACCAACTGGAAGTCAACCCCAAGGAGAAGACAAGAAGACCCTTCCTGGTCATGACGTCTACCAGGGTGGGATGGAAGGTTAGGTTCTCAGCACCTTGGTTGAAGACCAGCTCCAAGGAGAAGACGGGAAGGCCCTTCCCTGGTCATGAAGTCTACCAGAGTGGGATGGAAGGTTAAGTTTCTAGCACCGATTGGAAGTCAACCCCAAGGGGAAGACAAGAAGATCCTTCCTGGTCATGACGTCTACCAGGGTGGGATGGAAGGTTAGGTTCTCAGTACCTTGGTTGGAGACCAGCTCCAAGGACAAGATGAGAAGACCTTCCCTGGTCATGAAGTCTACCAGAGTGGGATGGAAGGTTAGGTTCTCAGTACCTTGGTTGGAGACCAGCTTCAAGGACAAGATGAGAAGACCCTTCCTGGTCATGAAGTCTACCAGAGTGGGATGGAAGGTTAGGTTCTCAGCGCTTGGTTGGAGACCAGCTCCAAGGAGAAGATGAGAAGACCCTTCCTGGTCATGGTCTACCAGAGTGGGAAGGAAAGTTAGGTTCTCAGTAGCTTGGTTGGAGACCAGCTCCAAGGAGAAGGTGGGAAGGCCCTTCCTGGTCATGAAGTCTACCAGAGTGGGATGGAAGGTTAGGTTCTCAGCACCTTGGTTGAAGACCAGCTCCAAGGACAAGATGAGAAGACCCTTCCTGGTCATGAAGTCTACCAGAGTGGGATGGAAGGTTAGGTTCTCAGACCCTTGGTTGGAGACTAGCTCCAAGGAGAAGATGAGAAGACCTTCCCTGGTCATGAAGTCTACCAGAGTGGGATGGAAGGTTAGGTTCTCAGTGCTTGGTTGGAAACCAGCTCCAAGGAGAAGGTGGGAAGGCCCTTCCAGGTCATGAGGTATACCAGGGTGGAATGGAAAGTTAGGTTCTCAGACCCTTGGTTGGAGACCAGCTCCAAGGACAAGATGAGAAGACCCTTCCTGATCATGAAGTCTACCAGAGTGGGATGGAAGGTTAGGTTCTCAGCACCTTGGTTGAAGACCAGCTCCAAGGAGAAGGTGAGACCTTTTTCTGATCCTGGCCTATCAGGATGGGATGGAAGGGTTTGGAGGGCAGTTCCAAAGAAAAGATGGGAAGACCCTTCCAGTCATGACCTCTACTGGGGTGGGATGGAAGGTCAGCTCCACAGCGCCCTGGTTGAAGATCCGATTCCATCTGAAACAAGGCCTGGGAAGTTGTTATTTTTGCGCGTGAAAAGACGGGTGGAAAGTGGCCTTCCAAGGTTAGGAGAGGCTTATAATCATCGCTTCCAAAGCACTGCTCAGGGCCAGGTCCCCTGCAGAGCACCCTGGCAGAAGGAAATGGCTTCACAACGCAACACACACACACACACCCATCATCCACCCACGCCAAGACCGGGTTTGCAAATACCGAAGCCCACTCTGTCAACACCCGGAAACCCCAGCCACAAGCTTCAGCGTTTGTTCTGCTCAAAAATACACACAGGGGTCTTCGTGCTGTAGGAGGGCGTTTCCCAACTTCACGGAACTTCAAGAGGGGTGGACTTCAGAATAACAGAGCTGGAAGGGACCTTGGAGGTCTTCTAGTCCAACCCCCTGCTCAGGCAGGAAGCCCTATTCCATTATAGACAAAGGGCTGTCCAGTCTCTTCTTGAAAACTTACAGTTTTGGAGAATTCACAACTTCTGGAAGCAAGGAGTTCCACTGGTTAATTGTTCTAACTATCAGGAAATTTCTCCTTAGTTCTAGGTTGCTTCTCTCCTTGATTAGTTTCCATCCGTTGCCTGGCTTTCTTTCTTTCTTTCTTTCTTTCTTTCTTTCTTTCTTTCTTTCTTTCTTTCTTTCTTTCTTTCTTTCTTTCTTTCTTTCTTTCTTTCTTTCCTTCCTTCCTTCCTTCCTTCCTTTCCTTCCTTCCTTCCCTTGCCCTTCCTTCCTTCCTCCCTCCCTTTCTTCCTTTCTCCTTAGTTCTACATTGCTTCTCTCTGCTTGAGTAGTTTCTATCCATTGCCCTCCCTCCCTCCCTCCCTCCCTTCCTTCCTTCCTTCCTTCCTTCCTTCCTTCCTTCCTTCCTTCCTTCCTTCCTTCCTTCCTTCCATCCTCTCCTCTCCTCTCCACTCCATCTTCCTCCTCCCTTCCTTGATCCCGTCCTTACGCCCTCATTCCTTGCTTAGATTCCACTGACCGGGGGACCCCAGAGGTCCTCTAGACCCTCCCACTCTGAATGCAGAGTGCAGCTTGGCCTCCCTTCCTCAGCCAGAGAGCCCTGTTCTGGCTCACAGCCTGGAGCCCCCAGAGAAGCCCCTTCCCAAGGCCACGCCTGCCTGCCAGAGCACCCCAAAGCCCCGAGCAGATGGGAAGGAGCCTTACATTCCAGCATGTCGCGCGAGCACACACATCAACCCAGAGGCAGGCGGGAGGTGGAGGAGGAGGAGGGTCCGGGGCGCTGGGATACCATACCTGGCCGGGGGCAGCCACGGCGCTCACGGGCTCCGGCTGAGGCAGCAAGGGGAGAGGAGAGAAAAGAGAAAGATGAGCAGAGGGATAGGGGGACATGGCGGGGAGGATCTGTCCCTGGGGGGAACTTGGGCCCGGACAGTGTGCCGAGGAGGGGGACACAGCAGCCGCAGAGACCCCCCCCCTTGATCAGCCTTTTTGGGTGTGAGCCAAAAGACACAGGAAGCACCAAGGGGGTAACCCCCGGCGAAGGGTTATGTTAGTGCCGACCTATACTTCTCGAATAAAGATTCTTAAAGGTAAACAATGCCTCGGAAGTTCTTGGAAGAGTTTCATCAGTCGGAACCAGGACATGAAGCCAAAATTTGGATTCCCCTCCCCTGGGCACCTAGTATCAAAGCACAATTCCCTCCTCCAATGAACAGTCCTAAATCACATTCTCCAATTAGTTTGAAATGCAGGCTTCCCTTCCAGTTCTCCAGCCCGCCATTCCTTATCACCTCTTATTTCAATACCCTTGGTTCTCACGCTAGGTCCAGTATTGTTATGTCTAGCTCAGTGGTGGCGAACCTATGCCAGGCGTGCCAGAGGCGGCACTCAGAGGCCTCTCTGTGGGCACGCGCACCATGCCCCGGAGATGGCAACCAGCCGCCTACTAACTCGCGGAGGTCCCACGTGGCCGGATGCATCCCAGCATGGTTGGTTTCCCTCCCGTCCCATCCCTCCTGGCCTCCCATGCTCTCCTTTTCCCAGGCACGACCCACTGCATCGCCTCCTCAACTGTCCGGCAGCCATCCAGCTCAGAGGCGGCTTCTGTGAACTGCTGGCGGTTTGCTGCGGAGCCCCAGAGTGCGCCAGTCAAGGGGCCGGCAGGCTGTGGCTGCTGACGGACACTGTCGGCCCCCATGCGCTCGCTGGCCTCTGTGTGCGGGGGCCGACGGTGTCAGGCAGCAGCCCCCCCCGGCTCCTGCCTTGCCTTGCCCTGCGACAATGGCACCCCCGCCTCGCCTTGCCTTGCCTCACCCCGCAGGACGAGCCTCCTGCCCACTGCCCCACCTGCCAGAGACCCCCTGGATCTCCCCCAACCCTGCCCAGCCCTCACAGGCGTCCCTCCCCACGAGCAACATCGAGGTGACCACGCCCACCTTGGCCATACCCACCCAGTCTGCCATGACCACAGCCATGCCTGGCCCCCGGCGATAAATAAGTGGGTTTTGGGTTGCAGTTTGGGCACTCGGTCCCTACCAGGTTCGTCATCACTGGTCTAGCTAAACCAGGGGTTCTCCACCTGTGGGTCGGGACCCCATTTGGGGTCGAACGACCATTTCACGGGGGTCGCCAAACAACGCAGTCCGCCATTTTTTTCCCCCTTTTCCTTAGCTGTGCTACTCCCTTTTATTCTATTGGCTTTTGAAAGCCAATAGAAGAGACTCTCTTGAATAGAGTCTAACTCTATTGGCTTTCAAAAGCCAATAGGAATTGTCCAGGCTGTCTCTGCCCTGCTGAGCCCGCCAAAAGTCCCATTCTGCCAATGGTGCTGCACCACTGAGTCCTTTGGGATTGGGCAGCATATAAATATTTGTAAATAAATAAATAAATAAAATAGTCCTCGACTTACGACTGGTTGAGTAGTCCTCGACTTACGACCGGTTGGGGGTCGCGGCATTAAGGTTGAGAACCACTGAGCTAAACTCTCATGCACATTCCTCCCCCCAGCATCATCTAACTCCAATTCTAAGAGTAAAAGCCGAGGTGGCGCAGCGGTTAGAGTGCAAGTACTGCAGGCCACTTTAGCTGACTGTGTTCAGCAGGTCAGCGGTTCAAATCTCACCGGCTCAAGGTTGACTCAGCCTTCCATCCTTGCGGGGTAGGTAAAATGAGGACCCAGATTGTTGGGGGCAATGTAAATATAGATATACATTGCTTACTGGTGTACACCGCTTAGAGAGTGCTTGCACTTAAAGCGGTATATAAGTCTCATAAATAAATAAATAATAAATAAATAAAAGATAAGAAGAAAATGGTGGCCTCTGCCACTGTTGTCAAAGCAAACACATCCGATGTTAGCAGCGTTGACACCAGGTGACCCGAGCAGGGCACAAGCAGGGGGGCAGCCCCCCCCCAAAAGGGAGAGACTTCAACAGCTTTGAAAACAACTATCTAAGGAGGTTCTCCATCCTCCAGGTTGCTTCTCTTTTTGATCAGTATCTTGAGAGGGTGCCCAAAACAAGGCCAGGGAGACCGTGATTGCGTGTGTCTTTTTGCAAATTGGGTGTTTGTCTGAAAAGGGAGCCTTGCGGGTTAAATGGGACCAAGGAAGGAGAATATTTGTAGGGCAGGGTTGAAATGAGGTGGTCCTGGGTGGTCTCTGAGCTGGCTTGTTTTCTCGCAGACGTCTCATGACCCAACTAGGGAACGTCGTCAGCGCTAGCAAGGAGTGCTGTCGGCTGTCGGTTTATATTCTGACAGCAACAGAAGCGGAACATAAACCGACAGCAAACGGCACTCCGTGCTAGTGCTGATGATGTTCCCTAGTTGGGTCGTGAGACGTCTGCGAGACAACAAGCCAGCTCACAGGTTAAAGGGGAATTCGGCATTCGCTGTGGGCTCTCTCTTAAAGACGAAGGGTGGATCCTGAAACCAAGCAGTTTCCTTGCTTCTTTGAACCAGGGAACACACGGTGATAGTGGTGGGATTCAGCCGTTTCGCACCACTTCGGAAGAACCGGTAGCTAATTTTTTTGTGGCCCAGGCCCAGAATGGATTTCTGGAAGTAGCATCCACACAGAGAACCAGTGGTTCGCCTATTTGAATCCCACCACTGATCATATCTATCTATCTATCTATCTATCTATCTATCTATCTATCTATCTATCTATCTATCATCTACCTATCTATCATCTATCTATCTATCTATCTATCTAACATCTATCTATCTATATCTATTATCTATCTACCTATCTATCTATCTATCTATCTATCTCTATTATCTATCTATCTATCTATCTATCTATCTATCTATTATCTATCTATCTATTATCTATCTATTATCTATCTAATCTATCTATCTATCTATCTAACTATCTATCTATCTATCTATCTATCTATCTATCTATCTATCTATATCTACCTACCTACCTACCTATCATATCTGTCTGATTGTCTATCTATCTATATCTATCTACCTACCTACTTACCTACCATATCTATTTGTCTGTCTGTCTATCATATCCATATCTACCTACCTTCCTATCATATCTGTCTGCCTACCTATCTATATCTACCTATCCACCTACCTTCCTACCTACTATATCTGTCTGTATGTCTGTCTGTCTATCTAGCTATCTATCATATCTATCATTACCTACCTACCTACCTACCTACCTATATTTGTCTGTCTATCTACCTATCTATCTATCTATCTATCTACCTTATCTGTCTATATCTGTGTCTGTCTATCTACCTACCTATCTACCTACCTCTACCTACCTACCTATCATATCTATCTACCTATCTACCCACCTACCCACCTACCCATTTACCCACCTACCCATCTACCTACCTACCTACCTACCTTCCTACCCCCCTATCTATCTATCTATCTATGATACCTATCTATCTATATTTATCTATATCGATCAGATCCAGTGGTGGGATTCAGCCGGTTCGCACCATTTCAGCAGAAACGGTAGCTAATTTTTTGTGGCCCAGGCCCAGAACGGGCTTCCTTCCGGAAACGGCATTCACACAGAGAATCAGTTGGTCCCCTATTTGAATCCCACCCCTGGTGAAACATCACGTCAGCCCGAGCGTAACTCAGCCCACAAGGACAATGCTCACAAACGCGCCGCAAAAAGTCTTTCTATTCTGCCTTTCGCACCCACAACACACCTGCTTGGGCTTCTCTCCAGCGGTCGGGCAAGGTGGCGGCATGTCTTCTGGCTGGGCTGGCGGGGATGTCTGCTTGGAAGGAGCCACAGGGCAGAAAGAAGCAAATCTGAGTCAAAGGATGCTTCAAGAGGACGCAAGCCTACATGCAGCTGTGCACACACACACACACACACACACAAACACCCGTTGTGAACACTTGCATGGAAAAGCTCAGTGCACACTCCCTTCCCGTGCAGTGTGGAAGGACGGGGAACAGGCGTTGGGGTGCAGACATTTAGCAAGCCCTGGGCAAGTCCTGCGCAAATAGTCCCGTCTCCCCACTACAGGTTGATTTACAGCTATTCACTTAGTGACCGTTCAAAGTTACAACAGCGCCGGAAAAAAGGACCATTGCAGCACCCCGTGGACACACGGTCAAAACTCAGCAATCCACTTAACAACGGCGGACGGAAAGGTCGTAAAAGGGGGCAAAACTCCGTTAACAAATGTCTCGCTTTGCAGCGGAGATTTTGGCTCAGCTGTGGCCGTTAAGCCGAGGACTGCTGGTACTTTAACTAAAAGTGCCGTCCACCGAAGCTGGTACGGGAGGAGCAAACGCCGAGGGAGAGAAGCGGGCACGCTTGACGTGCTTTGGCAGAGCAAAAGAGCAGCGTGCAGGGGGAAACTACACATCCATCACACCTGTCACCTGTCACCCTAAAGCAGGAGTGGGGAACCATGGGTCTTGCATGATTGGTGGACTTCAACTCCCAGAATTCCTGAGCCAGCATGGCTAAGCATGGCTGGCTCGGGAATTCTGGGAGCCAAAGTCCATGGCCGGCTGGGGAATTCTGGGAGCCAAAGTTCATGCCTGGCTGAGGAATTCTGGGAGCCAAAGTCCATGCCTGGCTGGAGAATTCTGGGAGCCAAAGTCCATGCCTGGCTAAGGAATTCTGGGAGCCAAAGTCCATGCCTGGCTCAAGAATTCTGGGAGCCGAAGTCCATGCCTGGCTGAGGAATTCTGGGAGCCAAAGTCCATGCCTGGCTGAGGAATTCTGGGAGCCAAAGTCCATGCCTGGCTGGAGATTTCTGGGAGCCAAAGTCCATGCCTGGCTAAGGAATTCTGGGAGCCAAAGTCCATGCCTGGCTCAAGAATTCTGGGAGCCAAAGTCCATGGCTGGCTGAGGAATTCTGGGAGCCGAAGTCCATGCCTGGCTGGGGAATTCTGGGAGCCAAAGTCCATGGCCGGCTGAGGAATTCTGGGAGCCAGAGTCTATGCCTGGCTGAGGAATTCTGGGAGCCAAAGTCCATGCCTGGCTGGGGAATTCTGGGAGCCAAAGTCCATGCCTGGCTCGGGAATTCTGGGAGCCGAAGTCCATGCCTGGCTGAGGAATTCTGGGAGCCAAAGTCCATGGCCGGCTCGGGAATTCTGGGTGCTGAAGTCCATTCCTGGCTCGGGAATCCACGAGTCATCCAAGACCCATGGTTCCCCACCCCTGCCCTACAGGAAAGACAAATCACATGCCAAGGGCTGTGGGGGGGGGTCGCTGCCCCCCTCCCCCAGCCCACCCCAAAGCCCACGCCATGCCCCCTGGTACCTGGCTGGCAGGACCGGCTTCCTGGCTGGGTGGCTTTGCCAGGCCTCCGGATGGTGGCCGAGCCTCGGGGGGGCTTTGGGCCTCGGAGGGCTTCCCTTCCGCCAGGGGTGGGGGCTGCGTCTTCTCAGGGGGGGGCGCCTCCTCTTTCTTCCCCCGCTGCTGCCGGGAGTGGGGCCGGTGTTCCCGGCTTTTGGCCCTGGACATCAGGCTTTTCAGCCCCACGGAGAGGTCGTCCTTTGGGGGTGCCCCCGTGGGCTGGGGCTTCGGGGACGGCCGAGGGGGAGACAGCAGGCAGGGCGGCGGGGAGAGGACTCTGCGGGGAGCCTTTTCCTGCTTTTTGCCGGGCTGGGGGCTCTTAGGCGGCTTGGGGGGGTCCTTGGCGCCTTCAGCATCGTCCCCAGGAAGCACTTTGTGGACCAGGCTGCGGACGGCCTTGGCCACTTTCGTTCCGGACAGGCCGTGGGGGTCCTCCCCGGGGGTCCCGGGCTGAGGCTCCGAGACGGCTGCGTGGGGCCCCTCCAGGCCATTCACAGCAGGGCTGGGGGGCTGGGCCTCCCCGTTGATCAGGGGGTCCGGGTTCTTCGCCTTGCCCGCGCGTTTGGGGGGCTCGGGGCTCTGCAGATGGCGGGACGCTTCCGTTTCCGCGACTGGGCAGTCTGGCTAGAGTCACAGAGACAAGGAGGGGTCACCAAAGGAAGGGAAAATCCGTAGATCAGGGTTCAACGGTGGGGTGCTTGGGGGGGGGTCTCTTGAGCTGGGGGGACTTCTTGCAAATGTTTCATGACCCAACTAGGGAACATCATCAGTGCTAGAAAAGGAGGGAGGGAGGGAGGGAGGGAGGGAGGGAAGGAAGGAAGGAAGGAAGGAAGGAAGGAAGGAAGGAAGGAAGGAAGGAAGGAAGGAAGGAAGGAAGGAAGGGGGTCCTTGGTGCTCTCTGAACTGGGCTGTTTTCTTGCAGACATTTCAGGACCCAACTAGGTAACTTCATCAGTGCTAGAAGAGAATGGGGTTTGTGGAGGAGGAGGAGGAGGAGGAGGAGGAGGAGGAGGAGGAGGAGGAGGAGGAGGAGGAGGAGGAGGAGGAGAAAGATAACTGTGGGGTCCTTGGTGCTCTCTGAGCTGGGTGGTTTTCTTGCAGACGTTTCATGACCCAACTAGGGAACATCATCAGCGCTAGAAGGGAGGAGGAGGAGGAGGAGGAGGAAGACTGTGGGGTCCTTGGTGCTCTCTGAACTGGGTGGTTTTCCTGCAGACGTTCAGTGACCAAGCTAGGTAACATCATCAGTGCTAGAAGGGAGGAGGAGGAGGAGGAGGAGGACAACTGTGGGGTCCTGATGCTCTCTAAGCTGGGTGGTTTTCCTTGCAGACATTTCATGACCCAACTAAGGAACATCATCAGTGCTAGAAGGAAGATGGGCTTGCTGAATGGGGGGAGAGAGGGAGGAGGAAGAGGAGGAGGAGGAGGAGGAGAATTGTGGGGTCCTTGGTGCTCTCTGAGCTGGGTGGTTTTCCTGCAGACGTTCAATGACCAAGCTAGGTAACATCATCAATGTTAAAGGGGAGGGGGGGAGGAGGAGGAGGACAACGACTGTGGAGTCCTTGGTGCTCTCTGAGCTTGGTTGTTTTCTTGCAGACATCTTGTGACCCAACTAGATAACGTCATCAGTACTGGAAAGCAGTGGGGTTTTCTCCCTCTTGATAGATAGGGGCTGCAGCAACCAACAGCCTAATCAAGGAAGTAACCAGAAGCAAACAAGACTCCTACCAACGCTGGGAGGGCGAGCCACAGGCATATAATCAGACAGCAACCGCCTCCCTTCTAGCACTGAGCATGTGCCCTAGGGCCCACCTGACCCCCAACTTATTGTGACCTACAGCTTGGCCTAAACTGGGCTAAAGCCGCGCTTAGACACAGATTCACTTACGCCAGCTTCCTCTTTCCCACTTTTTTTCACGGCTAAAACTTTGTCTTCATCCTTCACCTGGGGGGGGGGGGAGAGAGAGAGAAGAGGCAAGGTTTCGCTGGAGCACGTCAGGAGTGTCTTAAGAGCTGCATGCATGCCCACACGTGCACAAATACACACACACGCACAAACACCAAGCTTTCCCACTTCTATGTCCCAAGTGTGTTTTGTGTTCCCTGCTTAGCATGGAGCATATTGTGGGCTTAACTGGCAGCTGGGGGGGGGGGTTATGTTTGCTACGGAGGGGGGGTCCTGCTTCGGCCACTGCTGCTAGATCCAATTTGCAGCAATTTTGAGCTAAAGCAGTGGGTCTCAACCTTTTTAATGCCGCGACCCCCCCCCAACCGGTCGTAAGTCGAGGACTGCTCAACTGGTCGTAAGTCGAGGACTACTCCACGGGTGCATCACCGTTTGCAGAATGGGACTTTTGGCGGGCTCAGCAGGGCAGAGACAGCCTGGACAATTCCTATTGGCTTTTGAAAGCCAATAGAATTAGACTCTATCCGAGAGAGTCTATTCTATTGGCTTTCAGAAGCCAATAGAATAAAAGGGAGTAGCACAGCTAAGGAAAAAGGGGGGAAAAATGGCGGACAGCCTTGTTTGGCAACCCCCGTGAAATGGTCGTTCGACCCCACATGGGGTCCCGACCCACAGGTGGAGAACCAATGAGCTAAAGCCCACCCACCCACCCAGGGGTCTCCAGGAAAGAAAAAGCGGGCCAGGGTATTTGTGCAGGAAGAAAAACTTAAGCCGGCCACAGCTGGATTCACAGCTGGATTCGAAAGGAAAAATCTCGCTTGGCAATGCTGGTTTGCTCAGCTGTTTGGCCAATAGTGGCTCCCCGCCTGTCCGGGAAGTTCTCGACTTACATCCGTTCGTTTTAGTGGCCATTCAGAGTTGCAACAGCACTGGGGGAAAAAGGGGACTTCCACTCCCAGAATCCCCCAGCCAGCCTGCTTGAAGAGGTGGACTTCCACTCCAAGAATTCCCCAGCCAGCCTGCTTTAAGAGGGGGGGACTTCCACTCCAAGAATCCCCCAGCCAGTCTGCTTTAAGAGGGGTGGGCTTCCACTCCCAGAATTCCCGCTTTAAGAGGGGTGGGCTTCCATTCCCAGAATTCCTCAGCCAGCCTGCTTGAAGAGGGGTGGATTTTAACTCCCAGAATCCCCCAGCCAGCCTGCTTTAAGAGGGGTGGACTGTGCTGGCTGAGGAATTCTGGGAGTTGAAGTCCACCCATCTTAAAGTGGCCAAGGTTGAAAACCAATGTTTTAGGAATGCAGACCGGATTTTAATTTTTATTTTCCTGTTCTGTTTTCTTCAGCTTAATTGTTTGTTTGGAACAAGGGAGCTTCATGGTTTTCCAAACATCGGGAGGAGCAGTTGGCAGGAGAAGCTCACAAAAGCTTCTGCTTTTTTCATAAAACGCGTGAGCCGAAAAAGTGTTGCCACACTCTTCCGGACTTTTTTTCAGGTTTTTTGTTGTTGTTATTCTTGCATCTGTGTTAAAATTATCAAGCCCAAGGCAGTTTA